ATAAAGATATGTTAATACCATGGGTGCTTACCAGAGGTCATTTCATTCAATGGGTGTGGGGCATCCTGCCACCACCCATGGACTCTGAGGACCAGGCACTCATCCTGTGTGTTGGGAGGGGAGAGAGATAAGGATGGCAGCAGGGAGGACTTCCTGCTTCACAGAGAGAAAGAACCAAAAACTCCTCTGTGACAAATGCTTTGCATTCCTTGTCATCTGCCCACATCCATATCTGGATTCCAGGACCCAAGGACAAGTAGACAAGTACAGAGAAAAGCCCAAAACCAGTGTCAAACACAGTGGCGCTACCAGTGCCCTGATTGAAGGCCACAGATAAGCCATTTGGACATCCCAAACCTTTACCTCTTCATCTGCAAAATAGAGAGATCATAACCATGAAAATAATGGATTTTTTAAAATCACAGGATCACGTATTCTAAGAACTGTTCTGAGGGCTTTGTATATGGATCCACTCTGGGCTCCATGCTGTAAATGGCCAAGTTTCAGAATTTGAAGGGACTTGAGGAGACTGTGGGTGTGCATGCACTGACATCCATCACTTCATGGGGGAGGTGTTTCACTCAACAAACATTTGCTTCCTGCCATATACATACACAGTGTCCGGAGACTTCGAGGAAAAACTGATGGTAGGGGGCTGATCTTCAGTCCACTTAACATAGCATAACAAACCTTTATCCTCCATTTAATCCTTGGTGGTGGTGCCATTCCTAAGCAGTTAAACATCCATCTTGGATAGCTAGAAAAGAGGCAGGAATTCATATTTGTTGAATAAGCTGTACCTATGTTGTATTTTCTATTCTCACAGGAGGACTAGTAATCCCCACTTGAGAAATGAAACACAATGGATTCAACCACACTCAATAAGTGATCTTACAGCTTCCAACTCTTGTTCAGGATTTATCCACCCCAAAAGCAGTTAGCCCAGTGGATCTTATTGAAGGGACAACTAATCTAGAACAAACCAAATTCTTGGGGAGGGAAAATTTGTAAATACAATGGAAGCCCAGAGCAGGGAATAGGCTGAGAGCAGGAAAAAAAGAAAATGTGGTTGATAAGTGAGGATGGAAATTATGGATAATGAATTACTCCCGGCCAATCACTCACACCAGATTAGCGTTCAGGTTCTCTTAGTCCTAGCTTGCCGACCTGACAAAAGTTATTTCAAACTCAAAGAGTCTGTTTCCTTATTTCTAACAAGGGCATGTTCTTATTGACTTTTTAGTAATTGAAGTGAGAATTTGAGGTATTGTTTGGCCCAAACCCTTGTCTAGTACTTTGTGATGAAAATAGCCCTAAAGATGTCTAGGTGTACTAGAAACAATAGTTATGACATTATGTAAAGAATATAATTGTGGGGCTGGGAAGGTGGCTCAGTGGGTAGAGCGCTTGCCTTGCATGCATGAGGCCCTGGGTTTGATTCCTCAGCACCACATAAGAAAAAAGCTGAGTCATAGGGGAGCTCTATGTGGAGTCTTTTGAGGAACCTCCATACTACTTTCCAAAATGGTTGAACAAGTTTACACTCTCACCAACAATGCAGTAAGGTTCCCTTCTGTCCACATCCCCTCCAGCATCTGTTGTTGTTAGAGTTCTTGATTTTTGCCATTCTAACTGGAGTGAGATGGCATCTCAATGTTGTTTTGATTTGCATTTCTTTTATGGCTAGGGAGGTTGAGCATTTCTTCATGTGTCTATTGGCCATCCTTCTTTCTTCTTCAGAGAAGTTTCTCTTTAAGTCATTAGCCCACTTATTTATTGGGCAGTTGTTTCTTTGAGGATTTGTTGTTGGGGGATTTAATTTTTTGAGTTCCAAGTATATTTTAGATATGAGACCCTTGTCTGTTGTATGGATAGTGAAGATCTTCTCCCAAGCTGTGGGCTTTCTTTTGATATTGCTAGCTATCCTTTGCCATGCAGAAGCTCTGCAACTTCATGCAATCCCATTTGTCCAACCTTTCTTTGATTTGTTGTGTTTCTGGGTCTCTATTAAGAAAATTTTGGCCTGGGCCAAGGAGACCTAGGGTTACTTCTATTCCATCCTGTAATGTTTTTAGAGTGTCTGCTTTGACTCTGAGGTCTTTGATCCATTTGGAATTGATTCTGGTGCAGGGTGATCTATAAGGATCTAGCTTTAGTTTTCTACAAGTCTTTAACCAATTTTGCCAGCACCATTACTGAAGAGGCTGTCTTTCTTCCATTCTATTTTTTTAGTTCCCTTATCAAAAATTAGATGACCCAGCAGTCCCACTTTTGGGCATTTACCCAAATGTTTACAAACAAGACCACACTAAAGCTACCAGCACAACTAGGTTTATTTCAGCATTATCTACCATAGCTAAGATCTGGAACCAACCCAGATTCCGCTCAGTAGATGAATGGATCAAGAAAATGTGGTATATATACACAATGGAATTCTATGCCTCCATCAGAAAGAATGACATTGCCCCATTTGTTATGAAATGGAAAGACTTGGAAAAAATTATATTAAGTGAACTAAGCCAAGCCCAAAGAAACATAGGTCCCATGGTTTCCCTTATTTGCAATATCTAGTATATGTATGAGTCAAGCAGAAAAGGTCAGATAATGTGATGTTAGGAAAATGAACCCTAAGATATGTATTTTAAATATTTTTATCTTTCATGCATTTGTTTCTAATGCAATTATAAGATTATTTCTTTGTTGCTTTGTATGTCCTTCTCCCACAGCATAACCCCTGCTTTCACTGTATTTGATGTCGGTATAATTTGTGGAGGGGAAGGTAAAAAACAAGTCGTTTAAATAAGGATACAGGTGGACCTGTTGCAACAATGAGAAGTACAAGTTGTCATGTCAAAAATGAACTTTACAATTTGGGGGGGAGGATTAGATGAGGGGGAGGGAAGATGGGAAGGGATGGGAAGGGTAAACAAAGGAGGAGGCTAGAATGCTTGATAAGAAATGTACTCACTCTCTTGCCCATGTAATTGTAACCCCTCTGTACAGTATTTTCACAATAAAAAAATTTTTAAAAAGACACACAAATATACACACACACAAAGAAAAAAGCTGAAAGTGGCGCTGTTGCTCGAGTGGTAGAGCTCTAGCCTTGAGCTGAAGAGCTGAGGGACAGTGTCCAGGCCCAGAGTTCAGGCCCCACAACCAGACCGGCCCCCCCAAAAAAGAAGAATATAATTGCAACCAATGCTCACTTAGGATGGGCTGGAAGCCTAGACAAAGCCATTTTTCTCACTGGGAAATCTGAGAAAATGTGCATCAACTGGTTATTACCAAGTTTAATGTGTTGATGAATCTTCTCAGCACAGCTTTTTCCACTATAAATTTTACATTGTAGATTTAACACTATGACTATACATTGTAGATCTTGGGCTTTTCTTGAAACAAGAGCAATGGCTACAGACCCCAATATCTACAGCTGGACTTGATGTCCTCTGTTTTGTAATTCTAAGTTGAATTTTTATGTTGTAATTGGTCACTGAGACATTATCCCTGCAGCATCTCTAGGGTTTAGCATAGAGTGTTATAATCTCAAGGAGTACAGGTGGATTCATTCATTTCTTCTATGCCTTGAGCACTGAAAATGGTTTGAATATCAATTTTAGTTATGAATTGCAGAGTGGAAGGACAACCTTAACCTAGCATCCACAGGTAGATTTTTAAAGACTGAAGTTCTTCCTTATAAATATATATGAAATATACTTGATTTATTTGGAGACAGATTAATCTTATTTCATATATCTTATAGCTTTTGAGTGTAAAAAAGGCTAGTTGTTTGCAGGGGAAATTGGGCAAGTAGAGGAACCTCTGTGTATTTTGATTTTCTGGGCAGGGAATATGAGAATAGTGATATGATCTTCCAAGCTGAGTGCTGGATAAGATGTTTGGAGAGGACCCAGAATATATCAGAGGCTAGGAAATCAATACATTTTTAGTAATAAGTCGAAAAGTTTGTCCAAAAAGTGAGCATTAATTGAACATTGTTTCTTTGATGCCCTTTCTGACAGGAATGGACAGACAACTCAAGCCTCTTCCCTGGGCACAGCCCTAAGAGACATCCCCAAGAATAGGGCTACCTGCCCAAAAGGTAACTCCCTATGGCTAAGTCCAGCTCCATTCAAGGCCTTTCTCTGGCAGGCCCATGCCCAAGCCAACATCTCTCTTGGCTTCTCCTGCCCAGAGTGACTTCAGTTTGACTTCATCTCTGCAGCGTCTATGTGAACATCAGAAGGACTTTCTATCTCAAGTCCTTTGTTATTTCATCCTTCTGCACCTAGGGAGAAATTAGACCCCAAATGGCAACTGGGGCAGAAAGGAGATGTGACTTAAAGCCCACATCCGACCTCACTCAACACTTCCCATTTCTAGTTGGGCGCTGGTGGCTCACACCTGTAACCCTAACTACTCAGGAGGCTGAGATCTGAGGATCGGAGCTCAAAGCCATTTGGGACTGGCAAGTCTGTAAAACCCTTATCTCTAGTTAACCACCAAAACAAACAAAAAATCAGAAATGGAGGCGTGGTTCAAGTTGGTAAAGCGATAAACGAGCAAAAAAACTCAGGGACAGAGACCTCACCTTGAGTTCAAACCTAGAACCAACACGCAAAAAAGAAGAAAAAAAAGGTGTGTTTTAATATGGTTTCCTGGTCTCACATGTTCTATAAACTGTGTTAAACTGGAACTGCACAGCCTGAACAAAGGACCTCCCCCCGTCCCTGGTCGCCCCGCCCCTGGTTCCTTGACCGTGCCTCAGTCCAGAAAGAGCTCACAGGAGGAATCTGCACCCCCTCTGGCACCGCCTACGCCCCTGGCGCTGCAGGATCCTGCCGGGCCTCAGTCCAGATCCTGGCGCATAGCGGGAATCTGCTCCTTTAAGCCTTTCATGCACAAACTGTGCCTGCAGAGTGTCCACAACCCCAAGACGTGTGGACTGACAGACTGAGAACCTCACCCCACCATCACCTAGACCCGCGTTCCTCAGGGCCATGGAGAAAGCATCGTCCGGCGCCGCTGCCCAGCTGTGGCTGCTCCTGCTGTTGCCCTTGATGGGAGAAGGTGAGCCTTGGTCACAGTATGCATGGTAAAGTTCAAGCTGTGTGCAGATTGGCAGAGCAGATGCGCTCAGAAAGGGGGTCTCATTGGCAGAGCTGGATGACGGGGTGACAGTTGATCTTGGCCAGGTCTGGCCTGGGAATTATACCCACGGGCTGGGTGGTTACCTGGCACCTGCAGGATGCGGCCGAATGGTCGGGAAGGATGGACAAATGGACAGAGGTTGTGCGGAGACCACGCCACAGCCACGCAACCAAGGTTGGTCTCTTCTCCAGACTCAGCCCCACTGAGGCAAGGCCAATGAACTTGGCTGCCTTTTGGGCACAGAGGGGAGTGATCTCTCTGGTCAGGTGGCCCCAGAAGCTCGACACTTGTGAGGGGAATTCTATTTCTGCAGAAAACATCTGGACCCTGGTTTGGTTTTGGAGGTTCTCTTCCTTTTATATTCTACCCGCTCTACTTTCCTGGCCAGGCTGCTGAGATTGTGAAGCCCTTTTTATGAAAGAAAACTAGCATGGACTTGTTTGTCTTGTTTTCTGCACGGACCCTTCTAATACCAACAGGCTGTATTTTCTGAGCTTTCTTTTTTCCTTCCTCAGAGTCCGCTGTGGTCTGAATTGCTCACCTTGCCTGAGCAATTCAGAATTGCGCATCTTTCTGGTCCAGGTGGCCTTTGGGGCTGATGCCTTTGCTTTGGATAGTATTTCCTGAGCACTTTGGATTACTTAAGATGGGATTGTGGTAGGTGCCGCAAGATGGCAAGTGATGGCTTTGCAAAGCCTGGGTATTGCTCCCGTTCATATAAACAGATTAGAAATCCAAGGCTAGATACCCCTGACACCCTACTCCTCCTGCTAATTATACATTTTTTAGTCCCTGGAAGCAGCTCTAAACTGATTGTCATCAAGCGCTAGTGTCATATTTCATCGTTTCCAAAAAGAGAAGGAGCCAGACTGCCATCCTCCACTCCTCTTCCCTCCACCCTTGGCCTAAAAAAAGCCGTGTCCTAGGTCCTAGAGAGACTTTGGGGAACACAGCTCTTCCCAAAGCTGCCCTTGTGTGTACAGATTCTCAGCCAAACAGAAAGTTGGTGGACAGATTGTCCTTCAGTCTATGACAGAGTCTCTAAGGAGAGAACTCCCTTATACATAACTTTTGGTATAGGAATGGGGAATCTGAGCTTATCTGGGTGCCCCAGCAGGCCACAGAAGGAAGCCAAGATCAGGGGGCCTGGGAAGAAGATTGATAGCTTTGTGTGCCAAGACTCCAGCTTCCTACAGTGTCCTCAGTAGAGGGAATCCCCATCATCACATTTTGGAGTTAACCCGCAAATTGCTGGAAGTGGGGTTGTGGCTTAAAAGAGTGCCGGCATCGTAAAAAAGAAGCTAAGAAACAATACCCAGGCTCTGAGTTCAAGGTCCAGAACTGACATATGTGTACACATACACACAATCATACACACTAGGAGGAGGAGGAGTAGAAGGAGAAAGAGGAGAGGAAGAAAGAAAAGAAAGAAGAAAAGGGAAAAAAGAAAAGAAACAGAGTCCATTCACTAAATTGCTTTCCTTCTGCCGAATTGCTTTAGGGACAGGTTAAGTAAACTACATTTTCCTGGGTAGCATAAAGAACATGCACTCCATCTACCTTCTGGATCACTAATGGCCTTTCAGCAGGGGAGTAGGATACTAATTAAAAATTACAGTATCTGTTGAAATGAAGACCAAGGTCCCAAGAGAAAAAGGGAGTTGGGAAGCTTAGCCCTGCACCTGACAGACTCAAGCTCTAGTTCCCTTTGTCTTCACCTGGACAAGGAAGAAAGGACCCATAGCCTACCCTCAGAGATAAGGGAGATCCCAATGTGTTGGCCCCAGTCAGCTGCTAGCTGATCAGATGACTTCATGTCCTGATGAAGCTGATGGTTCTTCCCATTTCCCAGATGAGGAAACTGAGGCTCTCCAAGCTTTATATACTCTGGAGTCTATGTGAATTTACAGATCCCATTTTCCCACCCCTAGCTTTTGGCAGGCCACTTTTCTGAGTGTTGGGTGGTGGGAATAAGGACTGGGCTCAAGAGGGAGATCTCAGTAAAGGAAATGATGGTCCAGAATCTTCCTGTCCACCACAGGAAACTCCAGGCACCCTGGTGGTGTGGAACTAACATGTGATGTCACCCATGGACACCTGAGGCAGGAGCCCTTTGGTCTCTATATAGGACAGAGTTGTGTTGCTGTTTGGAAGTTCTGTTGGCTAGGAATCAGCCCTGGCCTGGTCCTGTCAGAGCTGGCCTAGGATAATGGAGCGAGCAGGGTTCCCCAGGGCAGAGACATCACCACGCTAGTTTGGTGTGGCTGGTTGCTCCTGTCCCCAGTGTTTCCTAGCCAATATACTTATCATCTGCCATATCTGCTGTACTGAGAAGTGGGTAAATGGATACAAAAAGGTCTACAGGAGCTTGAATGCAAGGGTTATCTTTTCCTCCAGACCTTCCTCATCAAGGTGGTGGGGCAAGCTACAAGAAGAAAGCACTCTTTGAGTGCCTGAGGAAATAAGGCAAGGGAGGCTGGGAATGTGGCTTATTGATAGAAGGCTTGCTTACTGTGTGTGAAGTCCTGGGTTCCATCCCGCAGTGCCACATAAACGGAAAACCTTGGGAAGTGGTGCTGTGGCTCTCAAGTTATAGAGTGCTCTACTTAAGCAAAAGAAGCTCAGAGATAGTGCTCAGGTCCTAAGTTCAGGCCCCAGGATTAGCAACATGCACACACACATACATACATACACACACATGACAGTAGTTGGAAGGGATTGGCAGCCTCCCCTGACATACAGTTCTTTCCAGACTGAGTATGTGGCCATGTTTCCTGTGGAGTCATATGGAGGCCATCTTGGGGTTGACCCCATGCCCTGCCTCCTGCTTGCCAGGGATCTCTGTTAAAGCCTCTTATTCCATCCTTGCTTATATTCCCCTCTCCTGAGTTTTCTCCAGTGCAATGACTGCATCATAACAAGGATTGATAGGGCTCCCTGGGGATGGGGAATACCTGTTGCTCCCAAAGGCTTCTCTCAGGCTACCAGTGTCCTTGGGGGCACAATAGAATGACCCTCAAGTGTCACTTGGTTGGGAGAGACGAGCAGGAAAGGAATTACTTAGCAGTTAACTGGTGTGTGTGTGTGTGAGAGAGAGAGAGAGACAGACAGACAGAGAAAGAGAGAGAGATAGAAAGAGGCATTCCAGATTAATTCTACAGCATGCAGCAGTACATAGGGTGGCTGTGGGTAGCTAGGCAAAGAGCACTCTTGACAATGACTTAGAGGTGATGGCAGTGGAGAGGGTTCTCTCTATCTCCCTGTTTAATGAAGGCTGTCCTGTGTGCTCTGTAATATGGGAGTGCTTGCGCTGGGGTTGCTTCCTCCCTGGGAAGCTGTGAAGTCAGTACAGAAGATTCAGAGTTAAAGTGCATCCATTTCTCTGAGGTCGTGATATTGAGTATGAATGGGCTGGAAGGAGTAAGAAGGTTCCTAAGGCTCCCTGGCCCACCTCCGCACTCCCTTGACCCCAGGGCAACAGCTAGAGGACACCTAGGCTGCATGAGCTGAAGCAGGTTGCCACTTCCCTCAGAAGGGAGGAAGGACAGGCTTTGGAACACCGCAAGCTACTATGGACTGAGATATCTCCACTCCCCCCACCCTTGGAGCTCCAGACTTGTGGATGACTAATCCAATGCAGGTGGGGTTGTTCTCTGCCAGGCTGGAGGCTGTGAAGCTAGGAGAACCCATTCAATCCCCACATGTTTACTGTGAGACCCTAGCATGTGACAAAGGAGAAGCCTCAGGGTGCTGTTCTTCCTGTAACATGTCCCCTTGGAGTTGGTGTGTTCTAGGAGCTGGCTGGGGGGCAGGTGACACTGAAGGAATCTTGAAAGGGAGTTGTTTGGGCACCACATGGGCTGTAGTAGAACAGTTGGCCAGCCCCAAGCTGCTATTTGTTTGCTTTTGCCTCATGTGGCCCCACAAAGTAAAGCCATCAAAGTTACTGAAAAAAAGGCCATCTGTGCTCCTAGACAGGTATGTGTGTTCCTTGTGGATTGGCTAGTGGTGTGTGTGCTGATACTGCAGTGGCTTAAACTCAGGGTCTGGTATTGTCCCTTAGCCTTTTCAATCAAGGCTGGCACTCGATCACTTGATCCACACCTTCACTTATAGCATTTGGTGGTTCATTAGAGAAAAGTCTCATGGACTTTTCTGCCCAGGCTGGCTTTGAACCAGGATTCTCAGATCTCGGCCACTTGAGTAGCTAGGATGATAGGTGTGAGCCACCAGAGTCCAGCTAAAGTTAATGATTTTTCAGTGAATGGTGCACATAACTTATTCATTCAGAGGAGTCTATGATAGCTGTGTTGCTATTCATTGGCAGAAAGTTCGTCCTATTGTCTGGCCTCAGTCCCTTCTGCTGTTGGACATTTACTCCTTCTTCTGAGTCCCTTTTTCCTTGAAAAAGAAGGCTATCCATCATCAGAAGACAGAACAAAATTATTGATAAAGGGCAAAACCTGTTGGTAAAGAAAAAACCCAGGCAAAGGCTGACCAGCAGTCAGCCTTAGCCTCTTTTCAAGCTGGCATTTTGCAGAAGGCTACTAACAACCTTGAGGCTTATCACCAGCTTCATTGAGTTGCTGTATTAGTCAGGAGCTTATAATAAAAATAATTTTTGTAATAGTGTCAATAGCATTGGTAGTGTCGGTCTTGGTGACCAAGTTAAAATTATGTTTTGCCTATGCCCCTGTGACTGAACGCTATGTTTTGCTTCTATAACCTTGCTTGGTTGACTCAGTAGCAAGGATATCACCACTGTCCTCCAATTGAAGACCACCACAGAGTGATCCCACTATGGGCAGTATATTGCAAAATATTGCAAATTATTATGCATGGTATTTACCATAAAGAACAATATATAGCCAATGAAAATGTGCCAAACCTTCCTTCCATAGCTCTTCTATGTAACTCTATATGACCTACCCCTATTCAAATCCAAACTACCCCAAGCTTAAGGCCAATCTCCTACTTTCCCAGTGATAGGAAGGAACCCTACGTGACTGTAATAAAGTTCCTAGCTCCTTGGAGTTAGCTCCTAGTTTGGATCTGGGAATTTTTAGTGCATAGGCATCACTTTATAATTCTTTACCATCAGTCCTTTGGGGCCTTCCTGTTTCCTTCTCTCCCTGCGCTTGATAACTAATCCACCAGCCTGTTTTCTGTCTCTGAATTTGCCCTATTGGCACCATTCATTTGAATAGACTACTGCTGTTTGGTTTCTTTCACTCAACATAAAGTTTTGAAAGTTCATTCACTTTGCAGAATGTTGTAAGCATGTCATTAGGAACAATGTTGCTGTTGTAAGACCCTGTTTCTGGTTCCTTTAGACTTAAATACCTAAGAATGAAGTTGCTTATGTTCTATTTTGGTGTTGTGAGCAACTGAACAAGATAAGCAGAAGCATTTTAAATTTCCTTCAGCCATGTTCAAAGGTTACAATTTATCCATTTCCTGTCTAACACTTGTTATATTCTGCTGGAGGTTTGCACCAAATAATTAAAGTAGCTCTATCTCTTAGTCATGCAAAGCAAACTTTATTTATACATATATAAAAATATGTAATATAAATAAGAATAAATAAAAATAAAATAAAGATATAAATATATAGTATAGAATACATATTATAGAGATAACAAATATAGAAACAAAATGTTATATATTATATACATATAATTAATAAAATGTTAAAGTGTATTATATAATGTAAATAAAATAACTAAGAAAAATACATAAAAAAGTGTTAAAAATCTAGTACATACAGAGTTACAAGCTCATTGTGGTTTTGGTTTGCATTTTTCAAAAACTAATGATCTAGTGCTAGAAGTGAGAACCAGTTTTTTTTTTTTTTCGGGGGGGGGGGGGGGGTCCGGTTAGTGGGGCCTGAATTCTGTGCCTCAGCTCTTCAGCTCAAGGCTAGCACTCTACCACTTGAGCCACAGCGCCACTTCCAGCTTTTTTCTTTTTATGTGGTGCTGAGGAATCAAACCGAGGGCCTCAGGCATGCAAGGCAAGCGCTCTACCACTGAGCCACCTTCCCAGCCCCGAGAACCAGTTTTTATACTAATTCTTGAAACCATGTTTTCAGTTCAATACCATGTTCACACCTATAATCCTAGCTACTCAGGAGGCTGAGATCCTGAGAATCACAGTTTGAAGTCAGCTTCAGCAGGAAAGTCCTTAATCCTCTTAATTTTCAATTAACTACCAAAAAAAGATCCAAAGTGGAACTGTGGCTGAAGTCATAGAGGGCAAACCTTCAGTCAAGAGCACAGGGACAGCACCCAGGTCCTGAGTTAAAGCTCCAGGACCAGCACCAAAAACAAAACAAAAATCCAAGGTTTTCCCATTCCTATTGCCATATTTAACCAGAAGTTGTGGAAACAGTCCCCATTGCCCCATCCAGGAGCCCGGGGTATCAGAAGGTCTGGACTCTTAAGGACACACTGAGTAAAAACACGCAGAAAAAATGGCACTGTGGTGGTTCCTGGCCTGGGGCTAGACACACCCAGGACCATAGAAATCCCCTTCCTTAGAAGAACTCTGTATGGAAGGATCTAGAAGCATCTAGAAAAGGTTTGAGGTTAGAGGGGTTAGAGCCAGCATGTCTTGGAACCACCTGGAGTACGAGAGGGAAGGAGAGGTAAATGAGAAAAGGTAAAGGAACTGGGAAGGGAGAAAGAAGGGAGAGGGGAGGAGAAAGAGAACACAAAAATGAAGAGGAGCTGGTAAGAGGTAGAGAGAGGAGGCAAGAGGAAGTGGAGGGTAGGGGAGAGCCTGGGGAAGGGAAGAAGAGGGGCAAGAGAGAAAGAAGAAAGGGAGAGGAAGGGAGAGTAAGAGGTTAAGGGAATTGGGAGAAGCAGGGGAGACTAGGGAGAAAAGGCAATGGGAGGAGGAAAGAGGGGAAGGGAAGAGGAGGATGAGGAAGAGAGGGGTAGGAAAAGGATCCTTTTCTTATTTACCTCTCCCCTCTCCCTGTCTTGGTTTTCTCCTCTTCCCCTCTCCCCTTCCCCTGCCCCTTTCTTTTCCCCTCCCCCCATCATAGCAGATGTCTTTCCTTCCCTCCCTGCCCCCTACCTCAGAAAAGGGTCACCAGAGCTCTATACAGCCCCTCCATTCTGAAGGCCCAGCCTGCCCTTCTCTTGCCCTGAGCACCTGTGGTTACCCTGCAGCTGTGGAAGGGCACCCTAGAAGAGGCAATGTCTCTCTCCTCCCACCTCGGATCACAAGTCAACTCACAAACAGCTCCCTTTCCCAGCGATCAGCCCTCCCCAGCATTCCCCTACTCAGGGATCTGCCCTCCTCAGAGGTCCCCCTACCCAGGGTCTCCACAGGCTTGAGAGTTTATGGTCTCCTGGTAGCCGTCTATCCAGTGTGATACTCCAGGTGGTTCCTCTAACCTCAAACCTTTTCTAGATGCTTCTAGATCCTTCCATACAGTGTTCTTCTAGGGAAGGGGCTCTCCATGGATGTCATTTCCCCATCCTTGGACTATGCCCAGGCTTACTTGTACCAAGCAGTTTCTGCTCCCCTCTGTATGGCTGGCCCTTCCAGGATGGCTTCCCTGTCCCGCTGTCTGTGCATTTTCCCTCAAGATACACCTCACATTTGGACCCCAAATATCTCCTAACTTGCTTTGCCTCAGTCAAACAGACACCTATTTACTCCTCCCCCCTCCACACACCAGACAGGTTTAAATGACTTTTATTGTTTACACTTCCCTCCACCCCCACTTCTTTTTAATTAGCTGAGAGGCCTACAATCCTAGCCCAGGAAGCTGATATTTGAGGATTGCAATTTGAAGCCAGCTTGGGCAGCAAAGTCTGTGAAAGTCTTGTTTTTTGTTCTGTCATAATGGCTTTAAGTCAGGGCCTGGGCATTGAGCTCTTCTCTTAAGTTTATAATCTATCACTTAACCCACAACACCACTTCTGGCTTTCTATTTTAACTGGAGATAAGAGCCTCATGGACTTTCCTGCTGGGCTGGCTTAGAATTGAATCCTCAGTTCTCAGCCTCCTGAGTAGCTAGGATTATAGGCATGAGCCACCAGCATGCAGCAGCCTAGGATTTTTGTGCTCAAGGCTTCCATTCTGCTACTTGAGCAACAGTTGTATTTCTAGGTTTTTTGTTTGTTTTTATAACAAAGAAAAATACTTTTTTCACTTCATGGACTACTTCCACTATTTTCTGGTTAATTGGATATAATCTCTCACACTTTCCTGCCTGGGCTGACATGGAATTGCAATCCTCTGATCTCAGCCTCCTCAGTAGCTAAGATATCAGGCATGAGTTCTCAACACTCAGCTTGGAATTTTAAGTTAATGAAAATTTGGACTTCAAGTAAGCCATTGTCTTACCTTCCCTGTCATACCTCCCTGCCTCCCCAGCCCCTCTAGGCCTCTACTTCTCTAGAGATGTTTACTGGGAGCAGCTATATGTGGACCAGCCAGCTGGCATGCCCCTGCTCTACATCCAAGCCCTTCTGGACACACCCAGTGAGGTGCCCAGCTACCACCTGGGCCAACATCTCTATGGGGCCTACCACAAGCAGCTGCATGAGAATGACTGGATTGGGATCCAGGAGAACACTGGCCTTCTGTACCTCATCCAGAGCCTGGATCACAGCTCCTGGGAGAAACTCCGCATCCAAAGTAAGGAGATAGCTACATCCTATCCCCACTCCTGCACCATTCCCTTCGTGAAGCCTGGAGGCAAGGCAGGCATGAGAGTCAGAGGCCAGGCCATCTGGTTACTTTTGTGTCTGCCTAAGGAAGGGAGCCAGGAATTTCGGGGTGCTGGCACCTCGGGAGGCAGCTGGCAATGATGTGAGTTGGGGATGTAATAGGTTGATTGGCTTGTCCATTCTGGAGCAGAGGCCATTCGTTCGGAACTGATCAGGTTGAGAGAAAAGGGCGGGTACACAGGCCTGGCCGGGATTGGCTACAAGGGAGTGGAGCAGAAGGAAGTGCCAGCTATGCAAGGCCACAGTTAGAGGCAGAGTCAAAGCCATGACATGGTGTCTTCTGGCCCTCAGCTCCTGCTCATGGTCAAGAAGCAGGTATGCGCTGTGTATAGCCCAGGCCAGGGCACAGAACCAACAATGTGTCTGTCAAATGCATCCAGGGTTCTGAGGTGCAGAGGGGTCTCAGGACAGCTCCCAGGAAACATAATTTGTGCAATTTTGGCTGTCTGTGTCTCCCTTCCATCATGCCTTTGTCACCATGCCCTTTCTTCTATGTCCCTGTGGGGAGCTGAGGCATGAGGATCCTTGAAATTGGGGAGTGGGCATGGGATAGAATTTACTGTAGGCCTGTCTTCCCTCAGGAGGCCAAAGAAATCCTTTTTGGCTCTTAACAGGGGAGGTACAGAAATGAAGGGACAAAGGGTGAGCACAGAGCAGGGCACTCACTGGACACTGTGGAAAATGAACGATTAAACTTGTGAGTGAGAATGGGAAGGAAAAGCTGGGAGAGAGTGTGAGGAAAGGAGTGACACTGTCCAAAAAGAAATGTACTCTTTACCTGACTAATGGAACTGCAACCCATCTATGTATCCCCTTTATGATAATAATAACCATTCATTTCTTCAAAAAACAAAAAGAGGCTATGTAGTGATTTGAACAGGGAAAGCTTGGGGAAAAAAATTGACTAGTGGTGAAGCCAGATAGATACCAATGGTTCATGCCACATCCCAGCTATTCAGGGGGCTGATATCTGAGGATCACAGTTTGAAGCCAGCCCAGGCAGTAATGTTTGTGAGACAGTTCTCCAATTAATCACCAAAAAAGATGAAAATGGAGCTGTGGCTCAAGTGGTAGAGTGTTATTCTTTAGGAAAAGAGGCTCAGGGACAGCACCTACGTCTAAAGTTCAATGATTGGTGTGCATGCACGCTCACACACACACACACACACACACACACACACACACACACACACACACACAATACTTCCTAATAGCAGCAAAGGGCACTGGAGCCATACCAGACAGTGAACCAATGACCAAGAAGCTGGGAGGCCCCAAGGGGCTGCAAAGAGTGCCATTCCTATCCCTTTCTGAAGTTGCTGTGTTATCTGTGATAGAAGTTGCTAGAAATTCCTCCTCTAAATGCTGAGGGAAGGCAGTCCATGACCAGCCCATCCAGGAGAGGTGCTGAGGAGGGGGGACACAGAACAAGCTATAAAACCACCACAGATGGTGACCATCCACAGAATTGGAGAGGGACTCTGGGCACCATATTTGGTCTCCTCACTGAAGGGGGACCATTTGAGATGAGGCCTGGCTAATGAGAGGTGCACATGGGGAGCATGGGGAGCTGGGAGGATCCAGTCCCTCCTGGAGTGTCAGTATTCCTCCCCAGGCCCTGACAGGTGTTCTGGCCACCCCCAGGTGTCTGCCTTCTTCTCTCTCCTTGTCCTCTGCAGATGGCGGCTTCCCTCTGTTGACAGTCTTCCTCCAGATCTTTCTGTCATCCCTACCCATGCATGAGGATGGATGCCAGTGGCCCACCTGTGCCCGTGTGTACTTCTCCTTCATCAATGCCTCCTTCCCGCCTTGTAGTTCCCTCACAGCCCAGGAGCTATGCTTCCCAGAGACAGGCCTCTCCTTCCGCATCCGGGAGAACAGGCCTTCTGGAACTTTTCACCACTTCTGCCGTCTGCCTGTCCAGTACCTCTGCCCCAACATCAGCGTGTCCTACAGGCTCCTGGAAGGTGAGTGTTGGCCTTTGTGTATTTGTCACATGTCCAGCTCAGCACGGTGCACTACCCTTTAAGTGTGAGACATCTGCATTATTTTTCACTACTGTTTAATATTGCACATGGGTCTCTGGAGGCCAGTCACAGGATAAGTTTGATTCCAGGAACCAAGAATGCAAATGGAAGCAGACAGTCTGGTATCTCACCTGCCTTGACTTCTATTCCTCTGGGGGATAGAGCTCACTACTCTGTCAAGGAAATCAAGTAGCTTCTAGAAGTAGTGAAGTGGGAAGAGAATCCAGGGTTCTGGGGTCTGGAGAGTGGTGGAGAATGCTGTTTTTGCTTGAATGATTAGGGCAGGTGGTACTGAATAGAGATGAATTGGGGCCAGGAGGGTATAGGTAGCTCCTTGGAGGGTACTATTGTAGGACCCTGTGTTGCTGACAGCAGAGATCTCTACGAGGCAGGGTCAGGATCAGAAATATAGAGTGAAAACAGGGAGAGAGGCAGAAGCTTCTAGAAAGCCCGGAGTGGCTGAGACTAGAGGCCAAGGGACACAAGGGGCAGGAAGCTCGGGTATTTGGCTTATTGGAGTCTTTGAGGCTGCAGGGCAACTACTCAGTGCACACACATGTGATGGTGTGTTCACTATCTAGTGCTGGGGAGAGGCTGCCATGGTGCTCTCCTCCACCAGGGCTAGGTGGATAGTGGTGAGCCAGAGCTAGGCAACACATGCACGGCAGGCTGCCCCTTCAGCTAACATAAATTCTGTTTTTGTGCACCAGTACTGGGATGTGGGCTCAGGACCTGAGCTTTATTGCTCAAGGCTGGTGCTCTACCACATGAGCCACAGCTTTTTAGTGCTTAATTGGAGATAAAAGTCTCACAAACTCTTCCTGTTCACAGAAGCTTTAAACTTTGATCCTATTATCTCAGCCTACTAAGGTAGCAAGGATTACAGGCATGAGCCACAGCACTTGGCTGAACCATGCCTTCGTCATATTTTTCTAAAATGAGAAAATCTCATCTCTATAATTTAAAATATTGCTGTGGTGGTTTATTATTATTACTAATGAATGTCTACAGTTGACTCTGTGCCTTGCTGCTTTAGCTGAGCTGAGCCACAGCTGTGCAAAACACCCCCTTCTACTCCCCTATCTTGATGGAGGATGGAGGGCAGAAGTGAAGAGGGGATTGTCAGAGGGGAAGTAAATGTAGTTGGGTCTTCTGACTGCCTCATGGACATGAGTAGGAGCAAAAAGGCAAATAAGCATCAGTTTGGCTTGGAGCAGAGCTCTGGTGCACACTCTGTTATATAACCCTGGCTAGAGAGGAGTCTGAGATCTGAGGATCGTGATTTAAAGCCAGCCTAGGCAGGAAAGTCTACAAGATATCTGCAACTTACCAGCAAAAAAATCCCCAAACAAAATAGAAAAAACAGAAGTGGAAATATTGCTCAAGTAGTAGAGCTCTCCAGAAGCTTCCGGAGAGCCCTGAGTGGGCTGAGATGAGACTAGGGATTAAGGGACACAAGTTTTGAGCAAAAAAAGTCAAGCAAGAGCATAAGGCCCTGAGTTCAATCCGAGTACACACAAAAACCTTGTTTGAGCCACGTGCTGGTGGCTCACACCTGTAATGTTAGCTACTGAGGAGGCTGAGATCTGTGAATTGAAGTTCAAAGTCAGCTGGGGCAGGAAAGTCTGTGAAACTCTTATCTCCAGTGAACCACCAGAAAAGTGGAAGTGGGGCTGTGACTCAAGTAGTAGAGCACTAGCCTTAAGCATAAAAAAGGTCAGGGACAGCACCCAGTCTCTGAGTTCATGTCCCATAATTGACAAAAACAAACAAGCCAGGCTTGGCTCTAATGCCCTTCTCCCCTTCCCTATGGGAGCTAGGACAGGGCCCCCAAGAAAGGCGCTTAACTCGTTCCAGTGTCATGTGGGGTCCCTTTGCTCTGTAGCAGGTGAGAACTTGCCCTTCCAGTGCACAATGGACAGCATGGAGTTGAGCGTGCGCTGGAGCCTGGACCGTGAGCAGCAGGAGAAGTATGAGCTGCTGGCTGAGTGCATGGTGCACTCAGGCGCACATAAGGAGGTGGTCAGGGTGCACTTTCCTGTGACCATCTATGATGAGGATGACTCACCGCCCACCTTGCCTGCGGGTGTGGATTCCACCAGTGCAGTGGTAGAATTCAAGCGGAAAGAGGTTTGCCTATCAGTCTGTCTGCCTCTCTGTCTGTCTGTCTGTCCTCTCTCTCTCTCTCTCTCTCTCTCTCTCGTCTCTCTCTCATGAGTGTGTGTGTGTGTGTGTGTGTGTGTGTGTGTGTGTGTATGTGCGCGCGCGTGCTGGTCGAGGGATTGCAATCGGCCTGAGTGGTATCCTAGAGCTTCTCCACTCAAGGCTGGTGCTCCATCACTTGAGTCACAGCTCCACATCCAGCTATTTGGCTAGTTAATTGGTGTTGAGTTTCCTGGAATTTTCTGACCAGGCTGACTTTGAATTGAGAACCTGGGATCTCAGCCTCCCGAGGAGCCAGCATTACAGGTGTGACCACCAGTGTGCCATTCTATATTCATGCTACTCCTTGGTCTATTTGAGCCTGTGGCTGTGCACTGGTGAAATCATCTGCCTTGATGTCTGTAAGTGGTCCACTTGCCAGCAGCCATCGGCTCTCAGTGCTCAGCCTCTATTGCGCCAATCATGGCTGGGCACAGAACCTTTGCTAACCTGTGCTGCTGGACTATGAAGTGATGCCTAGCTGGAGTGTTACCTACCAGGAGGGCAGCCCATTTCTGCAGTCAGCAAGGCTTCCATTGGAAGGCCTTTGGGGCTCACAAAGATAAGGGGACTGGGTGAGACCCCAAGAACAAGATGTCTGTGCTGCTGGTTGGGTGTGATCACCTCCTGCTGGACATCAGGCCTTACTGCAGGCTCCCTCACTGGTGGGCACAATGGGAATGGAGAGCCATGGGGATGGCCTGTTTCTCTGGGTGTCTAGATGCAGTTTGCTAGACAGTAGGGCTGGAGGAAATCACATCTGAGGCAAATGAGAGTCTGCACGGGAAGCCATCAGGGAACAAGGTCTCTTTTGGCTTGGCTCAAAAGTCCTTTTCGCTGGACACTGGTGGCTGATGCCTGTTATCCTAGCATCTCAGGAGGCTGAGATCTGAGGATCCTGATTTGATTCCAGGAAAGAGAGTAAAATTGTTTTTTTGTTTTTTTTTGGTTGCAGTCATGGAAGCTGAACCTTGGGTCTGGGCACTTTCCCTCAGCTCTTCATCTCATGGCTGGCACTCTACACTTGAGCCACAGCGCCACTTCCGGCTTTTTTCTTTTTGCTTAGGTGGTGCTGAGGAAGCAAACCCAGGGCCTCAGGCATGCAAGGCAAACGCTCTACCACTGAGCCACCTTCCCAGCCCCTAGAGTAAAATTCTTAATTTCCAATCAACCACTAACAAAGCAATCCTGAAGGGAAGCAGTAGAATTTGAGTGGTAAAGCCCCAGCCTTGAGTTCATGTGACTGCCCTTACTTGCATTCCTGCATCCCACAGGGTACTGTGCTAGCAACCCTGTGTGTGTTTGATGCCGATGTTGTGCCAGCATCCAGGGAGCTGGTGAGGCAGTACACAAGCCTTCTGCTCACCAGGGACCCCTGGGCTCAGCAGACCTTCCGTGTGGAACACTCACCCAACCAGACGTTGGTCCAAACCAACAACAGCTCAGTGAGGGCAACCCTACACTACTACAGTAAGTAGTTGTTGGGATTTCCTGTGTGATCACACAAAGTCTTTATGTACTATTTACATGGGAGGGCCTGATTATTCATTCTTACAGTAGGCTGTGAGACCTGTTAACATAGGCACGTGTGTGTCTATGGGGTTGTGTGGTTGTGTGTGTAGAGGAGGTGTGTGGGGCTGTGGCCTGGGGGAGGGGCCAATCCTGGACCACCGGTACTTGGTCATCATCTTGCCAACCTGTCTCCACAGAGCTAGTTCTCCAGCGGACCCTCCCCCTCTCAGAGAGCCGAGTCTTATCATTGGCTGTGCTTATCAATGACTCTGACTTCCAGGGCCCCAGATCAGGGGTTGTCATCCTCCACTTCAATGTCTCTGTGCTGTCTGTCAGCCTGTACCTGCCCAGGACCTACTCCTTTTCCCTGAGCAGGAGGGCTCATCGTTATGCTCAGGTGAGCCTGGGGTCCCAGTAATTCCAGTGATATTCCACTCTATTTGGCAGATTGCAAGGAGGGCAAGGAGGGGGTGAGAAAATGCCCCATTGCCAATGTCCCTGCATTAGCCCACAAAATACAGAGTAGCCCAAGTATAGCCATGGGCACAGGGACAGAGAGGTAGTGGCCAGGGTGTCACCCCTATGCAATTGGGGTCCCTTCCTTTTACAAGAGTGACCATCCCCTCTGAGCTACTTGTCATTCCCAATGACAAGATTTCTTTTTGACCCATCTAATAGCAATGTGGGGCTGGGTGTCCCACATAGCTCCTTATGGTACTGAGATCTGAGGACCAGAGTTCAAGCCAGCCTGGGTAGGAAAGTCCATGAGACTTGTAGTTCCAGTTAACCATCTAAAACTTAGAAGTGGGACTATGACTTAAAGTGATAGAGTGCTAACCTTGAGCAGAAAAGCTCCGGGACAGTGTGCAGACCCCTAGTTCTAGCTCTATGACCAATTAAAAATCACACAAAAAATAATGCTGGATGAATTGATACAGTCCTACTTAGAAAGATATTCTTGTTTAGATTGTTAGGTGAAAAAAGTCATTTTCACATTGATCTTTAGTCACTCTAATTTTGACAAAAATAAATATTCTTTGATGAGAATTTCTAGCAGAGAAGGTGAGTTCTTGCAGTTTTACAATCTGTAAATACATTTGCTTGAGAACTTACAGTGTATTCATGTGTGTGTGTGTGTGTGTGTGTGTGTGTGTGTGTGTGTGTGTGTGTGTGTGTGTTTGTATATGTTGGTACTGGGGCTTGAGCTCAGCCTGGGCACTACCCTTTAGCAATTTTGCTCAGATCTAGCACTCTACCAGTGGAGACACGATTCTACTCCCAGCTTTTTGGTGGTTAGAGATAAATCTCAGGGACTTTCCTGCTCAGACTGGTTAGAATTGTAATCCTCAGCTCTCAGTCTTCTGAGCAGCTACTGGCATGAGAACTAGTGCCTGGCTGATGTATTTTTATTTGTCTTTAGAATATAGTGATTAAAAATGATAAGTACAAAAGGCTTAGGATATAGCTCAGTGGTGGCACATATCTAAAATACGTAAAGCCCTTGGTTTCATCCCTAGCATTGCTATAATAAAGAAGCGGAGAAACAAGTCATAAAAGTTTAATAAAGGTAATGAAAGGAGTGTACATAAAGCTCAGTGGCAGATTTGCCTAGCATGTACAAGATCCTGAATTTGATTCCCAGCACCACCAAAGAAAAAGTTTGATCACAGCAACATCATAATGCATTAATTCTGTGCAGTAGTGGCTCATGCCTATAATCCTGGCTACACAGGAAGCTAAGATCTCAGAATTACAGTTCAAAGCTATCCCAGGCAGGAAAGTCCAAGCGACTCTTATCTCCAATAACCACTAAAAACTTGGAAGTAAAGTTGTGCCTCAAGTGGTGGAGCACCCACCTTGAGTGAAAAAGTTCAGGGACAGTGATAGTGCTGAATTCAAGCCTGACTACCAAAACAAAAAGTTAAAAAGATAAGAAAATCAGAAACCAGGAGGCAGTGGTTCACACTTGCAATCATAGCTTCTTAAAAGACTGAGACCTGGAGGTTTGTGACTTGAAACCAACCCATGTAAAAAAATAAATTCCTCAAGATTACATTTCCAATTTTTTGGAAATTAACTATCAAAACCTAGGCTGGAGATGTTGCTCAAATGGTAGAGCACCAGCTCTGAGCAAACAAAGCTCAAAAAGAAACTGAGGAGAGGAAAGGATACTAATGCCCACATCCACTAACTAATGGAGAACATTTCACCATTAAAGACTCGTCCTTAGGTATTTTTCTTATTTTGCTTTCTGAGTTTCTTTGCAATTTCAGCAGGTGAAACTTTCCAGACCACAGCCTTTGGTGTGGTCTAGAAAGAGTCTCACAGACTTCTTGCCCTCTCTGGCTTCAAATCTCAATCCTTAGATTTCAGACCCCTGTGGACTAGGATTACAGGCCACTGGCTCTGTCCCTGAGCTTTTTTTGCTCAAGGGTAGCATTCTACCACTTGAGCCATAGCTCCACGTCCAGGTTTTTGGTGGTTAATTGGAGATAAGAGTCTCACAGACTTTCCTGCCTGGGCTGGCTTGAAACATAATCCTCAGATCTCAGCTTCTTGAGTAGTTAAGATTAGAGGTGTGAGCCACCAGCTCATGGCTAGCACCTGGCTCTTAATTATGAAATGGCAACCCTTAACTCCAGTGATCAAGTGGAATGGAAAGTCCAAATGCCCAGCTTGAGGGCTGGACATTGCCAGAGGAAGAAGCCTGTGGGGAAGTGGAGCTGGGGCTCCAGCCTTGCATGAAAAAGCTAAGGAACAGAGCCCAGGCTCTGAGTTCAAGCCCTGGCACACACACTCGCATGAGTACAGACACACACCCACACACAGCCCATGGCTGAGGCCAGAGGTTGGGTGGTTGGGGACAATGACCTAGGCAGTCCTGGGTGGCAGGACTAGGAAGACAGGTGGGATGGACCATGTGCTATCCAGAGGGACTCAGATCTCCAGACCAAGTTGGAGTGTGGGTGGGGACAGTCTGGTAGCTTTTGGAGAGCCTCTCCAGCCACTGGCTAAGCAGGGGGTGCTCTGTAACTACTTTCCACCCCAGATTGGGAAAGTGTGTGTGGAACATTGTCAGGAGTTCAGTGGAATCCAATTGCAGTACAAGCTTCAGGCCTCCAACACCAGCTGCAGAGCCCTGGGTGTGATCACCTCCTCAAAGGACATCTCAGGGACGCTGTTCGTGAATGACACTGAGGTGCTACAGCAGCCCGAATGTGGGGAACTCCACTACACCTACACTGTGGTGGCCACTGACCGCCACACCCGCAGGCAAGCGCAGGCCTCACTCGTCGTTGCTGTACAGGAGACATGTGAGTTCTGGGTGTCATGGCCCCTTCCCCACATTCCCCCCAAATCTGGCTGTTTCCACAAGTGGGAAAAGCATTGCCTATAAAACAGCCCTGCTGGGAAGATGGCATTATGAGGTATCTACCCCCAGAAAGCCCTTTGGTAGACATCCCACTTCTTACCACCCTGCCAGTGGTCTTTACACGTGCCTGCCTACAGGCTGCCAGCTGCAACTCAGGCCTCTAGATGGGCTCTATGGATCACACCTGTAATCCCAGCTATTCAGTGATCTCAGCCTGGGCAGAAAAAACTGTGAGACTTATTTCTATTTAACTACCAACAAGCTGGGTATGGAGATAGGGAGATGTGGCTTAAGTAGTAGCATGCTTCTTAAGTAAGAAGCTCAGGAAGAGTGCTCAGGCCCTGAGCTCCAGGATGGACACACACACACACACACACACACACACACACACACACACACACGCGCGCGCGCGCGCGCGCCACTACCACCACCACCACCAGAAAACCTAAAGCCTCTGGCTAAATTTGAATTTCAGATAAAATAGAAACAACTTATTGGTACAGGTTGAGTATTCTTAAATCAGCAAATCCAAACTCCAAAATTTCCCGAGTAACTCTTAAGTGGAAAATTCCAGACTTTCAGGCAAGTAACAAATTGCAGATGCAGGAAAGCTGGATGCTGGTGGCTCCGTCCCCCATAATCCTAGCTACTCAGGAGGCTGAGATATGAGCATCAAGGTTCAAGGACAGCTTGGGTAGATAAATCTGAGACTCCTATCTCCAGCTACCAGTAAAAAGCTAGAAGTGGAGCTGTGTCTCAAGTGGTAGAGTGCTAATGTTGAGTGAAAAAGAAAGCTTAAGGGACAGCCCCAGTGCCCGTGTTCAAGGCCCCAGAACTTGAAAAAGAAAGAGAGAAAGGGGCTGTGAAGGTGGCTCAGGGCCTTGCACGCCTGAGGCCCTGGGTTTGATTCCTCAGCAGCACATAAGCAAAAAGAAAAAAAGCCAGAAGTGGCACCATGGCTCAAGTGGTAGAGCACTAGCCTTGACCTGAAGAGCTGAGGGACAGCGCCCAGACCCAGAGTTCAGGCTTTTAAAAAGGGAGAGAAAGAAAGGAAAGATGGAAGGAAGGGAAGAAGGAAAAGGAGAAAAGAAAGAAGTAAATATCGACAAGGTAAAAGACAACATGCATCTGTTTAAACAAGCACAGAGCACGTGCTCATTGATTATCTGAAATTCCGGATACTGGGAACTCTATTCAATGTCTTTCCCTGACCTTGATTTTTATCCTTTCTCCTGTGTTTACGTGTGACCCTGATACCACACCCTAAGTCCAGTGTTCTCAAGTCAACTGTAATCTTCCCAGGACTTAGCATTTTGGGGGTCATGTGGCTGCAGCCCCCCCCGTCTCTGGATGTTGGGCACAGACTGGCATCCTGTGACCCTTGCTTGGCTGTCTTCCCCAGATGTAGCTGAGGAGATTGGCTGTCCCCTGTCCTGTGCGGTCAGCAAGCGGCAATCTGAGTGTGAGGACTGTGGCGGCCTTGGTTCTCCAACGGGCAGATGCAAGTGGAGGCAGGGAGATGGGAATGGTAAGGTAAAAGGAGGCCATGGCTGGTCACCAGAAGCAGGGAGGGTGGCCAGTGAACTGTGAGATGCCCTTCTCTCATCCTGTTGCTCCTTGGACCTTATTCCCTGTGGGTCTAGTGCCAACAAAGTGGGTGGGTTGCAGGGTCCCAAGGACTAGTGCCATCTTGGAACTATAGTTGCCCTGAGTTGCATTCACTGCAGGCTTGGAAAGGTTGGGGTATATAGAAGACCAAGTGGCTTATCCAGAAGCTTCTAGGCCAGGGGACATAGCTTTGGGCACAATGGACCATTCAGTGTCTGCTTTTCCATAAGAGTAATCACTGCTGTGGGGATCCTGAACCAGGGACAGCCTTATTTGTATATTTATTTGCTTATGTTTCAGTACTCATCTTGGGACTTGAACTCAGGACCTACATGCTGTCCCTTAGGTTTTTTGCTCAATACTGGCAATCTACTATTTGCACCACAGCTCCACTTCCATCTCTTTGCTTGTTAATTGGAGCTAAGAGTCTCATGGATTTTCTTGCCTGGGGTTGGCTTCAAAGTCCAATCTTCAGATCTCATACTCTTGCATAGCTAGGATGACCATGTTCAGCTAGAGGTGTGGCTTTGACACTATTTCAACCCCCTTGAGCTTCCTTGATGGAAGACTGCCCATACTGATGTATCATCCATTGCTGGCCAAGATTTGTGGGTTGTGTCTCTTCTGGGTTTCTTTTTCCCTTAGGGGAGCAGGGCTGGCTGGGGATGCCATCAGACAGTGTAACCAGGGCAGGACAGGCCCACGTGGGGTGACAACCTGTTGTGTTTTGTCCCATAGGGATCACCAGGAATTTCTCTACCTGCTCCCCCAGCACCAGCACCTGCCCTGACAACCACTGTGATGCCGTGGAGATCCGGGACATCAACATCTGCCCTCAGGACTGTCTCCGTAAGCACCCCTAGACTGTGGGTAGAGCATTCTATCTCTCTGGATACAGCCAGAGAGGCCACATAAATTGTTTGTGTGGCCTAAGTGAAGCTTGGGTGTGACTCAATGGTAGAGGACTGTTAGTGCATAATCAGCCAGGCCTGCAATTTTTTTTTATTCTTATTATTTTGCCAGTCCTGGGGCTTAACATTCTGAGCCTGGCTGCTGTTCTGAGCTTTTGTGCTCAAGTCTAGCTCTCTACCACTTTGAATCACAGCTCCACTTCTGGTTTTCTGCTGTTAATTGGAAATTTCCTGCTCAGGCTGGCTTTGACCCATGATCTTCACATCTCAGCCTCCTGAATACCTAGGATAAGAGGCATGAGCCACTGATCCCCATGGGACCTCTAATCTGAGTTACTAAGAAGGCTGAGAGCTGAGGATCATAGTTTGAAACCAACTCTAGCAAGAAAATCCATGAGACTCTTACCTCCAATTAACCAGCAAAAAGCCAAAAGTAGTGGTGTGGCTCAAGTGGTAGAGGCCTAGCCTTGAGCAAAAGAGCTAAGAGACAGTGCCCTGCCCTGAGCGCAAGCCCCAGTATGGCACACACACACACACACACACACACACACACACACACACACAAACACAGACACACACGCACGCACACACACACACACACACACACAATGCTGATAGTTCCTTGAGCATTTGTGAAGCATAAGTTTTAATTTGGAAAGTGGCTCTGTGCCCTGTAAAACAATGAGGCCTGCCTGGAAGCCTGACCTCTGCAGTATCTGCATGGCCCACTAGTGCCCATATTCTATTGACACACTCAAGGCCACAAACCCCTTACTATCCTATCACCCCTCTTGGATCCCAAGAAATCACTTGTAGTCTCTTCTGGACGGTCTGTGGCTCCCCCTCCATGGCTGAGTAGCCAGTAGGGATGGAATGGTGATGACCTCTGGCCAGGGGATCTGCGGTGGCTGCTCTCCAAGGGGCAGAGTGGCTGGTGCCTCCTGGCAATATGGCCCTTTTAGTCTAGGAGTCCTGAGTTGACAGGTCACTCTAGCTTATGAACAGGCCCTTATTTGTTCTCAGGAGGCAGCATTGTTGGGGGGCATGAGCCAGGTGAGAGACGAGGGATTAAAGCTGGCTATGGCATCTGCAACTGCTTCCCAGAAGAGAAAAAATGCTTCTGTGAGCCTGAGGAACACCAAGGTGAGTGGGGAATAGCAGCAAGCACAGGGTCCAGCCTTCCCTGAGTGCTAGGGAGATGTGCTGCTACATCCAGAGGCCATGGAGGGAGGGAGCAGCAAGGAGGAGGTCCCTTCTTCCTTAAGGCCCCATTTCCCTATTGACATAGCCCCTGGAGAAGATTGGGCTCTTCAGACTAATTGCTGGTCTAAGGTCTCAGAGATGAATTGGCCTGGAGTCAGGCACTGATAGTGCACACCTGTAACTCTCAGGAGGCTGAAATGGGAAAATCAGAGCCAGTATGGAAAGTAACTCTTAAGAAAGGACTTATCTCTAATTAGCCACAAAATACAGGAAATGAAAGTGTGTATCAAGTAGTAGAGTTCTAGCCTAGAGTAAAATAAGCCAAGCAAGAACCAGGACCCTGAGTTCAAACCCAAAGAGAGATACACACACACACACACACACACACACACACACACACACACACACACACATACACACACACACAAATATATGAATTGCTTTTGAGATGGTAATCTTTTTGTACAGCTATGTAAAAATAAATTCTTTTTAAAATAAAAGAATTGGGCAGGAAAGCATTCTTCCTCCAAAGAACTTCTTCCCTAGTCAGACTGTCCTTGTGCCAAGTTGCTTGCTGAGCCCTGGGCACCATCTGACACCACATCTTTCCTGCTAGAGCAAGGGCAGCATGTGCGGTAGGAAGCAAATGGTGCCAACTAGGGGATACTTTATGTACCCCATGTCCAGGGGCCCTCTCTTGATATCTGAGTTATCATAGATCCTTTATTTCTCTCCTCCTACCTTCTATGAACAAACTTCTAGATATTTGGAACAATATCTAGAACCCCCAATTTCAGCCTTCTGGAAGTATCTGATGTTACTGGCACCCTGCTTCTGCTGTGTGACCTCTCTGGGTTTCCCAGCCTTGCTGGGCCTCAGTTTCCACCACTAGACAGCACTAGCTAGCTTTGTAGGATGGAATGCACTCAGTGCCTGCAGCCAGTAGGTACCCTTAGCTGGCTCTCTGGGGCCTTTGAGGGGCATGTGTCAGGCTATTGTACCTTGCCAGATGCTCCAGCTGGAGGCCCACTGTGTGATGAGCTGTGCTGCATGGTGATCACCACCACCGTCCTGTTCTCCTTCATCGTCTCCATCCTGCTGTCCACCTTCTGCATCCAATGCTACCACAAGCACGCCCACAAACCACCCATCGCCTCAGCCGAGATGACCTTTTTCAGGCCCACCCAGACCTTCTCCATCAGCTACTCTGCATCTGGTGCCCACCAGCCCTCACTGGACTCCATGGCGAACCAGGTGTCTATGGACACCTTCAAGATCCCGGTGAGGGTCCCCCAAAAGCCCTAGTACAGTGAGAGTCAGAGCAAAGATTGTTGAGTGAGGCACTGGTGGCTCACATCTGTAATCCTAGCTACTCAGGAGGCTGAGATCTAAGTATCATGGTTTAAAGCCAGCCCAAGCAAGAAAAATCTGTGAGACACATCTCGAATTAAGCACGTGAAAGTGGTGCTGTGGTTCAAGTGTAGAGCACCAACCTTGAACAAAAGAGGTTCAGGGATTGTACCCAGGCCCTGAGATCAAGCCCCAGGAGGGGGGAAGAAAGGAAGATGGAAGGTGGGTTGACCAGGTTTTCTTTCCAACTTGAGGCAGGCCTGTAGCCTTGCCAAGGGAACTTTGAGGCAGGGGGCTGGGGTGTCCAGAGTGAGAGGTCAGTGATGGGTCATCATTTTATACAGCACTGGGGTGGGGAACTGCATCCTATCTGGCAGGAGAGTTGATAACAGAGAACCCTAGCCTGGGTAGCTGAGCAGTCAGGACCCCACAAAGCCCCTGCACATTGTCTTCTCCAAGGCCGAAGCTCTTGGGGTAGGAAATGAGCAGGAGAGACCTGAGTTTTGTGGTTGTTCCTATATGAAGGATTTGGGGAGATGTGAAGCCAGTGGGGCTGGCAAAAGGCTGTCCCAAAAGGCTGGCACTGGCTCAAATGTTGGCATCTCTGGGCAAAGTAATACCCTGGGCATGAAGAGAAGTCTCAGCCAGCACCCCAGGGGGTTGTGTCCCCCCCACCCTATGGGGCTGTGCTGCTATAAATGAGTGCCTTGGAGCCTACGGGTCCTAGGCCTTCTGAGCCTCCTTGGGCATTCTCCTTTCTTCTCCCCTGCCAGATGGGCTGGGCCCTTCAGTGTCCTACTGAAATGGAAGTGGATATGCAGGACCTGGGAGGGGCCTAGGCATGGAAAGAATGGATTTCTTATCTGAGTACCCATGGCTCATGCCTGTCATCCTTGCTATTCCGGAGGCTGGGATCTGAGGATTTCAGTACAATGTAGCCTAAGCAGGAAACTGGTGAGACTCATCTCCAATCAATCATCAAAAATCCAGAAGCTGTAGAGCACTGGCCTTGAGCAAAAATGTGCAAGAGTAGTGTCCAGGTCCTGAATTTAAGTCTCAGGACTAGCATGAAGAGAGAGAAAGAGAGGGTGTCTGGGAAGCAGAATAGATGTCTAGTCTAAATAATCCAAGCTATCATCTATATGACTACATTAAAATATAAAATGTTCCTCCCTAAATTCATCTTTCCACTTAAATTCTTGAAGTCAAATTTCAGTATGTGTTGGGATGTGTATTTGTATGATTTTGTTTCTTGGGCACATGAACAGGTCATAAAAATGCAATTAAAATAAAGGCAGAAGAAAAAAAATGGAGCTGTCAACTGGGTGTGGGTGTATGGCAGATTGAGGTTTGATGCCAGCCTGGGCAGAAAAGTCCATGAGACTCTTCTGGAATTAGCCAGCAAAAAGCAGAAGTGGAGTTATGGCTCACATGGCAGATCACCAACCTTGATTGGAAATCCAAGCAAGGGCACAGACCCTGAGCTCAAGATCCAGTACTAATGCGCCCTGGCGCGCGCGCACGCACGCACACACACACACACACACACACACACACACACACACACACACACACACACACACACACACACACACACACACACACACACACACACACACACACACACACACACACACACACACACCACAAGGCCTGAACTGAGTAGGACAGACTGTGGTGGAAGGTTTCTGTGGCCTTAGCCCTAAAGATGCTCACCTTGGATTAGAAGAGGGTTGGGATTGCTTACAGTTGTAATGCAAAGGCTTAGGGCAGCCTCAGCCCCAGGGTCTATTCTAGTGATGCCTTGATGTTGGCCGTTGCCACGTCCTGTGGAGTTTTGCTGTCTAGCCCCTGTTACCAGAAGCAGCAGGTCCCACACAGCTTCCCTCTGGGAGGACTCAGAATCTTCCATAGCCCATAGTATGAGGTAAGGTTGCACAAGCAGGCTAACATCTGAGCATGGAAACAACACCCCTTCCTCTGCCACAGAGGAAGCCTTCTGACCACACCTGCCAGTTCTAAGTCTTAGTTCTGACTGAACAACTCAACCTGTTTCCTCTGATTTATGTGTGCGTGTGTGTGTGTGTGTGTGTGTGTGTGTGTGGGCACGCGCACGCAAGTGCGCACGCACCTGTATCCATACTAAGGATTGAATTCAAAGCCTAGGCTCTGTCCTTTTTACTCAAGGCTGATGAGACACAGCTCCACATGTGGCTTTTTGATGTTTTTCTTGATATGAGTATCACAGAGTTTCCTGCCTCGGCTAGCCTTAAACCATGACCCCCCCAATCTCAGCCTACTGAGTGTCATATTTTTAAGAGGCGCAAGTAGATGTCATTTGTTCATGATTAGTGAGGCCCTGGGCCCAATAGAGTGGTACTGACAAGGTGACTATGTTGACTTCTGTTAATGATTCTGATGGAGTGAGAGACAAACTAAGGGTGACCCATGAACCCATGTGATGGCACCACTGTGTAGAAGAGGCCATCCCCAGACCCCTTGCATAATACAGAGGGTGGCCACAGCCAGGGTCATGAATCCCTAACAGATCAGATCTGTGATTGGGGAGCCTGGGAGTGCCATAATGAGCAGGACCTCAAGGCCCACACCCAGCTTTGAGGACACTGTGGAGTAACAGGCATCTGGTCCAACGCCAGTAGAGCAGATGGGAGGGCTCTTACAGTCTTGGGTATCTTGAATTCACATACATGGCAACATTCAGAGCAGTCATGATGACCTGTGGGGCTTAGCCAGAATGGTGAGGGGCATTGAATGTCCGCAAGAATCTGGACCACAACCTGTGGAGCTGCATATGCAGGATAGCCAGAGGCAGGCTCAGCTACCTACACTCTACAGTTGGGGACTCCCAAAAGGGTCAGTGATACCTTTCTTTGCAGGAATATAGTCAGGGAGGGGTGTGTGTGTGTGTGTGTGTGTGTGTGTGTGTGTGTGTGTGTGTGTGTGTGTGTGTGTGTGTGTGTGTGTGTGTGTGTGTGTGTGTGTGTGTGTGTGTGTGTGTGTGCATGGGTGCGCATTGGTCTTGGGACTGGAATTCATGGCCTGGGCATCATTCCTAAATTTTCCACTCAAGGTTAGCACTCTACCTCTTGAGCCACAGTTCCACATACAGTGTTTTCTATGGTTAATTGGAGATAAGAGTCTCAGATTTTCTTACTCAGGCTGCCTTTGAACTGCTCTCCTCAGATTTTAGCCTCCTGAGTCATTAGAATTACAGGCATGAATTACAGTGCCCAGCCTATGCACTAAGAGACCTGTTGGGGTCCACTGGAGAGTCAGGACATGATATGTCTTAGTAGTCTGCATGAGACCACATGGGGGCTGCTAGGTGACCCTTGCATCCCACAACTTGAAACCAGATTGGCTCAGGAACTATCCAATGAGAATAATTGGGGACAGATTGGGCTCTCAGCTGTTCCCAAGGGAAGAATGTCACTTCGCTGCCCTCAGAGCTGGCATGGTGAACTCAGTCATCAGTAAGATGGTGGTGGTTTTTTGTGTACTTGCATCTTGTCAACAACAGCTTCTCAATTGTACCCATTATCCTTTTCTTCCCCCTTCTCCCTCCCCAATACAGGAAGATCCAAAGTGGGAGTTTCCTCGGGAGAACTTAGTTCTTGGGAAGGCTCTGGGAGAAGGCGAGTTTGGAAAAGTGGTTAAGGCAACCGCCTTCCACCTGAAGGGCAGAGTGGGGTACACCACAGTGGCTGTGAAGATGCTCAAAGGTACCATCCAGATGTGGGAGCCCCCAAGGCAGGGAAGGGGCCAAGCTCCTGCTGCATGTGCAGCTGCCTCACCTGCCTATGGTCAGTGATCTTGGGGTGGCTTCCTGGTGCTGTAGCCTCTCAGAAGGTGCTGGTGTAGGGGGATGTGCTGTTGGACTATATTCATGAAGAACTCAGGACTTAAAATCTTAGCCCTTAATTTATTTTTGTTTGGGTGGTCTTTTTTGTGTTTGGGTTTTGTTTACTTCATTTTTTGCCACTCCTAGGATTTGAACTCAGGGCCTGAGCTCTGTCCCTGAACCTCTTTGTTCTCAAGGCTAGCACTCTCCCCCGCTGGGCCACAGCACCACTAACAACTTTTTCTGAGTGGTTTATTGGAGATAAATGTATCATGTACTTTTCTGCCCTGGCTGGCTTTAAGTCTCAATCCTCAGATCTTAGCCTCCTGAGTAGCTAGGATTATAGGCTTTTTTGTCATTGGCACCCAGCTGTTTTTGTGTTTTGGTTGTCATTGCTTGGGTGGTTTTTTTGTCATTCTTTTTTTTTTTCTAGTAGTGAGACAATCTCAGAGTTTGAGTGCTGTCCCTTAGCTTTTTTTACTCAAGGGTGGTACTCTACCAGGTGAGCCATACCTCTGCTTCTGGCTTTGGGATAGTAATTGGAGATGAAAGTCTCCAAGATTTCCCTTTCCAGACTGGTCTAGAACCAGATCCTCAGAACCCAGCCTCCTGAGTATCTAGGGTAACAGATGGAGAATGGAAATAGATAGCAATGGAAAACTTAGGTGGAAGCTTGCTCCAGGGTGTGGAGCATATATAGCCCTTTTGTTTGAGCCCAGGCCCTGGGAGGAGCTGGGTGCCTTAAACTTCCCTGTGTCCTGAGCTGGGTACTGGTAGAGGGGTTTAGGTCTGTCTGCTATAGCATAGCTTTCTAGAAGGGCCCATGTGGAGTCAGGCATCTGTGCTGTGTTTCAGAGAATGCATCCCCCAGTGAGCTGAGGGACTTGATGTCTGAATTCAACCTCCTGAAGCAAGTTAACCACCCTCATGTCATCAAGCTATTTGGAGCCTGCAGTCAGGATGGTAAGGCAGTTTCCAGGTGCTGTCAGCCACCCCTGGGCTCAGGGCCCCCATGCTCTTTCTGTCTTCTCTCATTTCCATGATTCTGTTCATCTTCCTCTGGAGGCCTAGGCTTCCAGCCCCATCCCTGGGTTAGCGTGACCCTGTCCACAGGCAGGCAAGGATGTCCAGCTGAAGCAGCTGCTGCCTGTAGCCCTCCCACCAGCCAGGACAGCTCAGCTTCCCGTTCAGTGTGCCATCCCTCTTAAGGCAAACACCCATGGCAGAGATTCCCAAGATGGCTTTTTTCCCTGGATCTAATGGACATTTATTAACACCCTACCAATTAACAGCCAAATACACATTCTGTTCAAATGTAAATATCCTTCAGCTCTTCAGCTGAAGACTTGTGCTCTACCACTTGCACTACAGCGCCACTTCTGTTTTTCTGGCAGTTTATTGGAGATAAGAGTTTCATGGACTTTCCTGCCTGGGCTGGCTTTAAACCATGATCCTCAGATCTCAGCCTCCTGAAAAGCTAGGATTACATGCATAAGCCACCAGCACCCAGCTTACTATAACATTTTGAGCCATAACACCACTTCCAGTTTTCGGGGGAATAATTGGCAAAATGAGTCTCAAAGATTTTCCTGTCCCAGCTGGCTTCAAACTGCATTTCTCAGTTCATAGGTTTCTGAGTCTCTAAGAGTATGATTCACCAGTGCCTGGCTAGTTAATTTTAATCTTATGAAATATATCCTATAGGTATATGGAGTTAAGTTAATAATTAGTAATTCAAAGGAACAATAGTAATTTTTTGAGAATTAAAGAAGCTACTTCTAAATAATCTGCAGATTGAATTCTATTAAAAACATGTAATCTGGGTGCTGGTGGCTCATGCCTATAATCCTAGCTATTCAGGAGACTGACATCTGAGGATTGCAGCCTAGGCAGGAAAGTCTGTGAGCCTTTTCTCCAATAAACCACCAAAAAACTGGAAGTGGCACTGTGGCTCAAGTGGTAAAGTCTTGAGCCGAACACCTGAGGAAGAGTGCTCAGGCCCAGAGTTCAAGCCCCATGACCAACAAAAAAGAACATTTAAAATATTTTTATTAAATATTTTTGCTTATTGTAACAGTGATATACAGAGGGGTTACAGTTACATAAGTCATGTAAAGAGTATAGTTTTTTTGGACAATGTCACTTTTTCATATTCTCAAAACAGTTTTTTTCCTTCTTTCTGTACTTCAAGTTGTATTTTTAACCTAGTATCTAGTGAGTACCACTGCTGCATTTGTTCACCCTTTGTCTCTCCATTCATGTATCTCCTCCTTACCTTCCCAAAGACAAACAAATAAGCACACAAGACAAAAAGGAAAGAAAAAGCCTTCACATTTCCATTTACTAGAATTGATTTTGTGTGATCAGGGGCACATGGACACTGTGCTTTTGTTTTCCTCCCCTAAGAATGTACTCCTTTGGTCGCTCTGTGTGGGAATGCCTAGATTTCTGTATCACATATCATGTCCTGGTGTATTTTAGATCAAATTTCCACATAAAATATTTTATTAAGTATTTTAATTATTATAATGTATTTTATACATTATAAATTATTTTAATTGTTATAATGGAGGCTACAATCAGGTAACGAGTACATTTCTTCTTAGACAATGTCACTCCTTTCTTCACTCTCTCCCAAGACAATCCCAAGATTTAAGCAGGGTTACATTCTAGACACCCTCAGAAACATGAAATGTTGTCAACCACAGATGACCCCAACCCTCTCTTTGTGTGTGTGTGTGTGTGTGTGTGTGTGTGTGTGTGTGCGTGCATGCAGGTATGTAAAACCAAAAAACTATTCAAGATTAAGCTGGACCTTTTAGATCTAGAGAGTGCCTACAGCCTCCCCTTTCCTGAAATCTCTACCTTCCATAGCTGGCTGGATGTCCCATTCCTTAAGCTCCTTCTTCCTGTCTCCAGGGCCACTTCTCCTCATTGTGGAGTATGCCAAGTATGGCTCCCTGCGGAGTTTCCTGCGGGACAGTCGCAATGAGTGGGCACTGACGATGGGCAACCTCATTTCCTTCGCCTGGCAGATCTCCAGGGGAATGCAGTACCTGGCAGAAATGAAGGTACATGTCCACCTGTGCACAGGGGTGTGGGCCCTGATTGCCATGCTGCACTTCCTGAGGTATGTCTGGAGATTTGCTGTTATTTGTTTTGCTTTGTTTACCTTGTAGCTCATCCATCGGGACTTAGCAGCCAGGAACATCCTGGTGGCTGAGGGAAGGAAGATGAAGATTTCTGATTTTGGTCTATCCCGAGATGTTTATGAAGCAGATACCTATGTAAAGAGAAGCAAGGTAGCTTGCTGGGTTGGTGTGGGGGCTCACAGCTGGTTTGGTGTTGCTGATTCCTCAGCAAGACCTGGGAACTCAGTGCTGGGTAGACAGAAAGTGGACCACACCATGCGGGTATGGACAAAGTTTACTAGGGGAAACTACGCACTTAGTATATATGGCATACACATAAAGAAAGTAAATCTTAGTGGGCAAGTGACAGTTTCACAAGGCCAACAGTTTACAGGAGATATATAGGCTAAAAGAATGCAGGAGATAGGTGAGGTCTAAAGGTTATAAGATATATATCAGATCAAAAGGTGACAAAAGACATACAAGACACAAATGTTTTACCCATAGGAGAAGTGTGAAGGGTTGTTTATGTGTTTATGGTGCCATTAGGAGTGGGCACAAAGAGCACATCCTGGTGCCTTCCCTGAAGCATACAAACTTCTTAGTCAGAGTTGGAAAGAGTTTTCTCCTTCCCCCTGAGACTTTTGGCTAGATGTTCTGACTGTTGGAAGAGTTTTCTCTTCACCTTCTCGCCCACATAAACTCATATAGCATACAAATGCTCAGGAAGGGTCACATGTTTCTGTGTCTCTGACAGTTCAGTACCCTTAGAACATCTGGAGATGATGAAGCAGCTTGTTTATAAACTTTTTTGTTGTTACATCAGTACAGAGGGTTTACAGTTATATAAGTCAGGTAATGAGGTCATTTCTATTTGAATGTTATGCCTTCCCTCACTCTCCCACACCCACAAGTTGCGTAGTTCATTTTCAACAGAGGTATCATGCATAGTTTGAAAGAGCTTTTCTGGCCATCAGTTCCAATGCCCTCCTGCTCATGGGTTTTAGAGACTCCACTCAGGTTCTTCCTACATCTGTTCCTTCATTCACAGGTAGCCCCTCTTGCTTTTATTCATTGTCCCTTTTAAAGTGACCCTTAGCCTGAGGATAAGAAATTGACTGCCCCTACATCATCATTTATCGCTATTCTACACAAACAAGAGCCACCATTTTGCTGAGCATTGTGGCTAATACCTATAATCTTTGCTATTTTGGAGTTTGAGGATCACAGTTCAAAGTCAGCCTAGGCAGGAAAGTCTGTGAGATTCATATCTACCAATTTAGCAGCAAAAATTTGGAAGTGGAGTGTGACTCAACTGGTAGATCACCAGTATTGAGTGAAAAAGTTAAGGGACAGATCCCAGACCCAACCACCACCAAAAAAAAAAAATAATAAAAGCTACCATTTCCCTTCTAGGAAACTTGGGCTCTTTTGTCAAAGGAGAATCAAACAAAATGAACTAAACATATTAGTGGACATTCTTTGTAGTAAGAAAGGGACTACATAACAAGTGCCCTCCTCCCCCAGGGAGTTTGGAAGGCACAAGGGAACCCCTAGAAAAAGGCCCCCTCAAGACACAGTTCAGAGGACCTGGGAGTTTCAGCTTCCTCCAAGTCTAAGAAATAGGTGGGCCATCTGATTTCCCAATGTTGTCCTGTTGCCATGGCAACCACATTATTGTGTGTCTCAGCTGGCCTCCTGAAGCCTCCCAGGACCCACAGCCTATAGCTGGTGAGGGGTTCTGCTGACCATGCATTCAGAACTGCTGTGCAAAAAAGAAAAGCTCAAGCTAGGGACCAGTGGCTCTAGTTAGTAGTCTTAGCTGCTCAGGAGTCTGAGACCTGAGGATGATGGCTCAAGGCCAGCCAGCACAGAAAAATCAGAGTGATTCTTATCGCTAACTGGAAGTAGAGTCGACACTCAACTGGTAGAACCCCAGACTTTAGTGAAAATTCTCAGGGACAGTGTTGGGTTCATTCCCCAGGACAGGCACACAAGAAAGGAAAGAAGTAGAGGGAGGGGAAAGAGAGGAGAAGACAGGGCAGGGGAGAAAGGAGGTAGGAAAGAAGGAAGGGAGGAGAAGGGAAATGGAAGGAAGGATGATGGATGGATGGGCACTGGTAGCTTACACCTGTAATCTTAGCTATTCAGGAAGCTGAGTTGTGAAGATTGCACTTTAAAGACAGCCTAGCGGGCATTGGTGATTCATACCTGTAATCCTAGCTACTCAGGAGGCTGAGATATGAGGATCATGGTTCAAAGCCAGCCTGGGCAGCAAAGTCCTTGAGACTCTAATCGCCAATAAACCACCAGAAAAGTGGAAGTGGTGCTGTGGCTTAAGTGGTGGATCCTTGAGCTGAAGAGCTGAGGGTCAGCACCCAGGCCCAGAATTCAAGCCCTCCCACCGACAAAAAAAAGCCAGTGCTGGCAGGAAGGGAAATCCATGAAACTCTTACCTCAAATTACTCACCAGAAAGTCCCAAGTAGAGCTGTGGCTCAAAGTGTAGAATGCTAGCCTTGGGCAAAAGAATTCAGGGACAACTCCTAAGCCCTGAGTTTAAGCCCCAGAACTGACAAGAAGAAAGAAAGGAGGGAAGGAGGAAGGAAGGTAAAAGAAAAGAGAAGAGAACACTATACACATTGTCTTGTAGGGGTTGGGATTCTTTCACCATGAGCTGTAAAATCATTTGGTACAGGGTTGGACAGCCTAATATGTTTCTCATTGGCTGTTTGTATCAATAATTTTTTAGGAGGTACAAAGGATGTTATTAATGTCTAAACGACAGAGGAAAGATTCCCCAGTCCTTCTGTATCCTGTAAGGGCTTGTTGGTGTTGCAAAAGGTTATAAGGACTGTATGTATTTCTTGTGAGGTTTCTATGGAGACGACATGTCTCAAAACTACTAAAAGGAAAATTGCAGTGGATGTTTCCTGGCCTGGTGAGGGTGTGGTAGAGCCTTCCTGTTCTCTGTCTCTGTTTCTCTCTCTCTCTCTTTCTCACACACATACACATACACATACACATACACATACACATACATTGTTATTTAGGAGGCCGTGGAGGCAGAAGCGTTGCCCACATGCCCTGCTATGTCTCCATATTGGCTGTTACACCACAGCTAGCTTTGTTAGGAACATGGTCACATGTCATTAATGATAAATATCCTAAAGGATGCACAACTCTAATCCTAGCTACTTAGGAGGCTGAGATCTGAGGATCACAGTTCAAAGCCAGCCCAGGCAGGAACATCCATGAGACTCATTTCCAGTAAACCACCAGAAAACTGATAGTGCACTGTGGCTCAAGTGGTAGAGTACTTGTCTTGAGCTGAAGAGCTGAGGGACAGTGCCTGGGTCCAGAGTTCAAGCCCCATAACTGACCAAAAAAAAAAAAAAAAAAGAGTGCCAGAGAAAGTGCAATGTGTTGGGTTCTGACTTAAGATACACATTTCAAAAAATTGATATGCACCGAAGACTTGCCCTAGGATCTGCGTGTGTATAGTACATGTCTGCGGTCGTCCCATCTTTACTTGGGTCTGAGGTAGGAGAATCACTTGACCTAAAAACCTGGGACCCAATATGAGCAATATAGCAAGACCCCATCTTAACAACAACAAAAAAATAACAGGAAAAGACAGAGAGAAGGAGACATTGAAGAGTGAGTGACAGGTTACCTTGTGTGATCTTAGGCTATCCATCATCCTATCAGCAACTCAGCAAAGTCTGGAGGTTCAGGCTAGAACTCAGCCTCTTCAAGGCTCTACTCAGCTAGATCTAGCCTCAGGACTTGGTATTTCACCCTCTGTACAGAGTCAAACTCAAGCTGGGCACTATTGGCTTCTAGTCTTTAATCCTAGCTACTCATTCAGGCTAAGATTTGAGGACCACAGTTCAAAGCCAGGCTAAGCAGAGAAGTCCATGAGACAAGTCTTATCTCAAATTAACTATCAAAACTCATAGTGGAGCTTTGGTTCAAGGGATAGAGGACTAACCTTGGGCAAAAAAGCTTGGAGATAGTGCCCAGGCCTTGAGTTCAATTCCTAAGACTGGCAAATGTGCATGCACCTGTGCATGCACACCCCCACAAGACAAAGCAGATCTCTTCTGATCTGGTTCAAGGGCTTCTTTTTTTTGGGGGGGGGGGTGGTCCGGTCGTGGGGCCTGAACTCTGGGCCTGGGCGCTGTCCCTCAGCTCTTCAGCTCAAGGCTAGCGCTCTACCACTTGAGCCACAGCACCACTTCCGGATTTTTTCTATTTGCTATGTGGTGCTGAGGAATCAAACCCAGGGCCTCATGCAAGCAAGGCAAGCACTCTACCAGTGAGCCACCTTCCCAGCCCCTCCAGGGCTTCTTATTAACATTAAAGCTTTTCTTTCTACATCCTCTTTAGGGCCGGATTCCTGTCAAATGGATGGCAATTGAGTCCCTTTTTAATGACATCTATACCACCCAAAGTGATGTGTAAGTGTGGGTGTTGCCATACTAGGGTGGGGTTTACAGAAGCCGCCAGTGAAGCTGGCTGAGGAACAGCACAGGACCAGATGAGTTTGAGGAAGCCTCATGGATTCATCCAATGACATTCCAGCAGCAGTTCCACAAGGCCAAGTTGGAAGTGTAGGAGAGGACACCTGGGCCACCACCTGCCACTCTCCTCCCTTCCCTCGTCCACTCCTACCTCCTGAACAGGTCCAGCCAAATCACTCCCCTCCTGGGAGTCCTGCAGTGACTTTGGCTCAAGAAAGCAACCCTACAATGCCCCCTTCCCACAACTGGTGTGAGTTTGTAGACAGAAGGGTCCCAAATTACACAAAGATTGGATGTTAGGAACCAAAACTCACTCTTCCAGGTCAGATGACAAGATGTGATCATTTGTTAAATGGAGACACTGGCTTCTAAAGTGTTCTGAAATCCACAGACATGCAGAGTTTCAATAACATAGGCTGTGATGACTCGATTGCTAAACAAATTATAAGCTATCACCTATAATTCTAGCTAAGCAAATAATATGCTAAGCAAATTATAGGCTATCACCTATAATTCTAGCTTCTTAGGAAGCTGAGATTTGAAAAATCCCACTTAGAAGGCAGCATAGGCAGGAAAGCCCATGAGTCATTTACCTCCCATTAGCCATAAGAAAGGCAGAAGTGGTAGTTGTGGCTTAAGTGGTAGAGCACCAACCTTGAGTGAAAAAGCTGAGACAGACCTGGGAAGGTGGCTCAGTGGTAGAGCACTTGCCTTGCATGCATGAGGCCCTGGGTTCGATTCCTCAGCACCACATAAGCAGAAAGAAAAAAAGCCACAAGTGGTGCTGTGGCTCAAGTGGTAGAGCGCTAGCCTTGAGCTGAAGAGCTGAGGGACAGCGCCCAGGCCCAGAGTTCAGTCACCACGACTGGACCTCCCCCCCACCCCCCCGCAAAAAAAAAAAAAAGCTGAGACAGCACCTAAGACTTAAGTTCACACTCCAGTACTTGTACAAAATTAATAAATAAATTAGGATAAGCAGTAGTCTGCTGATTGCAGAAAGGTGACTGTAAAGGAATTGAAAAGTGCTAGGAGGAGACTCTTGATTCCCTAAGGCCACCATAGCCCAGCCTCTTCTGCTGTCCTCTTCCCAGCCATGGAATCTTCTAGCGCTTTCTGTTGTATGCATGCACACAAATCTTACCTCTACAAGTGGCCTCCAGTGACCCATGCTGTTTTGTGTTCATTTTATTTCCACTTCATTGTAAGTTTTCTCTTGCACTGAAATATTTTTCTAGACCTTTTGTGTTTCAAGATTTTTTTCTCTTTTAGTTTTGTCGTGGGTCTTGAACTCAGCTTGGGCACTGTCCCTCAGCTCTTTAGCTCAAGGCTAGGGCTCTACCACTTGAGCCACAGCACCACTTCCAGTTTTCTGGTGGTTCACTGGAGATAAGAGTCTCACAGACTTTCTTGCCCAAGATGGCTTTGAACCACGATTCTCAGATCTCAGCCTCCTGAGCAGCTAGGATTACAGGGGTGGGCCATCAATGTGTGACTATTTTGAGGCTTACTGGAAGTCTTGTGGCCCACAGGAAAGATGAAAGAATTGTTCAGAATCCCCTAAACCCCATCATCACACACAGGATGGAAGTTTAAACCAGCTGCCCTTGGCACTGGGCCTTACTGAGTAGGCCTCGGAGCCAGCGGGAAACGGTCATGTATCTGCTTCTTCCTGCAGATGGTCCTTCGGGGTTCTGCTGTGGGAAATTGTGACACTGGGGGGCAACCCCTATCCTGGGATTCCTCCTGAGCGGCTCTTCAACCTTCTCAAGACTGGCCACCGACTGGAAAGGCCCTACAACTGCAGTGAGGAAATGTGAGAGGGGTTTGCCTTATCCAAACACCCTCCAATGCTGAGACCTGGGCCAGGATTTCTGGAGTCGGTGGGGGGAATGTAAGCAGAGGTTATAGTAGGAAGCACCCTCTGATATGAGGCAGATACTGGAGACTTGGGCAGCAAAGTGCGGGGACGGGGGGTGGGGGTGGGGGGGAGGTTCTCTGAGAATAGACTGAGGCAGGAATCCTTTTATGTGAGCTGAAGCCCTTGAGGAGGATGTTGGGGAACACTCAAATAGAGGTGCCAGGTACAAGCAGGGCAGTCTGGACTTTGGCTCAAGGGTGCTCTACTCTCCAGTTAAATCAGAGGGTTTAGAGAGACCTAGTCAAAAATAGATACTTCCAACCAGTGAACCCAGTGCCAGCACCTGTAAGGAACTTATGAGATTGGGATCTGAAGGACCACTGTTTGAGGCCAGCCAGGACAGGAAAGTCATTGAGATTTGTGTCTCAACGATAGGTAGCAGAAAGTCAGACTGGGAGTATTGAGGTATGGCTCAAGTGATAGAGTACTAGCTGAGTGAACACGTGGACCAAGCTTCAGGCCTTGAGAGGAGGAAGAAAGAGGAGAGGAAGAGGGGGAGAAGAGAGAGGAGAGGGAAGAAAAAGGAGGAGAGTAGAGGAAGAGAGAAGAAGGAGAAAAGGAGAGGGAAGAGGAAGAGAGGGGAATGGGAAGGGAGAAGAGAAGGAGAGGGGAAGAGAGAGAAGGAAAGGAAGGAAAGGAACAATTACCCTCTTGCCCAGAGAGCAGCTCCTCCAAGATGCTGGACAACTGTGCTGGGCCCTAGGGAGTTCACCATGCTGGAGAAGGTCCCAGTGGGCCTGGCTGTCCATGCCAGCTAATCACTGCCAGTTTGCTCTTCCTTCTAGGTATTCTCTGATGCTGCAGTGCTGGAAGCAGGAACCAGACAGTAGGCCAGTCTTTGCTGACATCAGCAAAGACCTGGAGAAGATGATGGTGAAGAGCAGAGTGAGTCGCAGAGCTGCTGCTCAGAGGCTTTTGGTTCTGACACCCCAGTGTGGGGACCAGGGTATAGCTGCCACGGAGAGAGCCATGTGTCCCAGCTCAGAGGAGGCCTCAAACCGTCTCTTAGGCTTCTGTGCAAATCAGAAAGAAAACAGCAACCAACAACAACAAAACAAACCAATGCAATTCATAGTTTGACACAGGCACTCATAGGAAGAGAAATTACAATCCCCAAAGGATTATTTGCAATACTGAATGTTATGAGGTTACCTAGTTGGGGAAGTAGTGCTGTGGCTCAAGATGCTAGAGAACCAGCCTTGAGCCAAAGAGCTCAGGGACAATGCCCAGGCCCTACGTTCAAGCCCTCCTATGATAAAATAAACATCAAGCCAACTATAGTTTAAATAGAAATTATTTATTGGCTGGGCATTAGCTTACTGGTAGAGTGCTAACCTAGCATTAATAAGCCTTGGTTTCGATTCCTCAGTACCACATACTCAGAAAAAGCCAGAATTGGTGCTGTGAGTCAAGTGGTAGAGTGGTAAACCTGAGCAAAACATACTCAGGGACAATTCCCAGGCCCTGAGTTCAAGCCCAGGTCTGGCAAAAAAAAAAAAAAGAGAAAGGTACCTAGTCGGTATCCTGAATATATATGTCCCATGGGAAGTGACTCAGGAGAAGGGGGAGAAGGGAGTGTGGATCCCAGAAGTTCTTAGTCCCTCTAAATTCCTCCTTGCTGTCATACCCACAGCACATAGGAATGGGAACCCAGCCACACCAAGTCTTTTGACTGTTAAAAGGTTATTTATAATGCCAAAAGTCCAATAAGTTCCACATTCAACTTGCCCTGACATCTGTCAGCCCTTCCTCCTTCAACTTATAAACCTATAAGTAGCTAGGCACCAGTAGCTCACACTGGTGAGGTTCAAAGCTAGCCCAAGAAGAAAAGTCTATGGAATCCTTACCTCTAATTAAACACCAAAAGTTGGAAATAAAATTGGCTCAGCTGCTAGTGCCAGGCTTGAGGAACAATGCCCAGGCTTCAAGTTTAAGCCCTATTGGCACACAGAAAAACAGGCCTGGTTCTGGGCTCTAAGCATGGCTGGGGGTGGCAGGCCTCAGTGCCACCATCTGGGAGGGGCTTTGGCCTTGCTAAGAGGCCAATATGGAGGATGAAGACATAGCCAGAACTGGCAACTTGAAGGCGTCAATCTTGGGGTGTCCTTAAAAGCAGCCAAGGGAGCAGGGCACGCATATCCTATGCCTGTAATCCTGGCTACTCAGGAGGCTGAGATCTGAGGATTGTGGTTTAAAGCCAGGCAAGGCAGGAAAGTGTGTGGGACTTTTATCCCCAAGTAGCCACAAGAAAACCAGAAGTGGAACTGTAGCTCGAGTGGTAGACCACAAAAGCCTTGTCACAAAGGCTTGGGAACAGCAGCCAGGCCCTGAATTTAAGCCATCCAGACCTCTACACACAACCCCCATAGCTCCCCACTATATATTCTTTCTCTTTCAGGATTACTTGGATCTGGCTGGCTGTATACCTTATGACTCACTGCTTGAGGATGATGGCCTTTCAGAGGAGGAGACACCCTTGGTAGATTGTAATCATGTCCCACTCCCATGTACCCTTCCCTCCACATGGATTGTAAACGAACTCTATGGTAGAGTTTCCATGCATTTACAAGATTCTAGCAGCTAGTGTTTCCCCTGTATTCTCCAGTCTGTAATGCTTTTATTTTTAAAGAGTGTCTCTGTCAGGCAAGAAATTAAAATGCCATCAAACCTTTGTTAAATGTATGACTTTGGATCCAGTTTTGACATTCAGGTGTTTTTTAAATTTATTTTTTCCTTTAAAAGTTAAAACAAAAAAAAACAGGATGTGGAAATAAATATTACCAGACAATTTAAGATGACAAAAGAGAACATAATTAGATCAGGGCAGAATTCTCAGGGAATATGGAGAAGATTGAAGTTGTTTCCTGAGTAGGGGAACAACTTTTGATTTTGGTACTTGGATGAACTGATTTGATTTGGAGATGAATTTAATTAAGGAGGACCTAGCACCCCAACTTCCAGTAAGAACACAGCCAGGAACTTCCAGAGACTACTCCTGGGCTAGATTCTTCCAAAAGGCCACCCAGGTCTCTTCTCCCCAGCCAAAGGGTGGATGGTGAATGTAGTCTGCAAGCACGCCCAGGCAAAGCAGACCCTGGGCTGGGTGGGGCTGGAGCAGCCATCACGGGGCGTGGTCAAGAAAGGGTTGTGGTGACCACAAAGTCGCTCCTCTCCATTCACTACCTTTTGGGTCCTGTTAGGGCTCACACAGACCCAGACTGCCTGCCTAGTGGCCTGCAGCAAGCAGGTACACAGCTGGGGCACAGGTGGGGGAGGGAGGGTCTGGGAACCACCTTGCAGCCTGGCAACTGGTCGAGGGTGGGGCCACGGCTGTCCTCCCCATGACTACCCAGAAAAGCTACTGACCGGAAAACGATCCCGTCTCAGAACGGAGAGTCCAGGCTCTTTTCTCTAAAGACTGAGGGAGTCCAGGATGGAGTTAGCAGGGGAGAGACTATGGGCTGTATTCATAACATATTTAAGAATTTGCAAAGATACCACTTCAAGGCATAGAGAGGACACAAGGCCCACTTACAGGTCTGTGCCCTTTGCCAACTCACTGGCTTAGACCTCGATTTCCCTACTCTTTCTGGACAAGGGAAAGAGCCTTGGAGAGTGTGGAGTGCTTTGCCCATGTCCTGGGAGCTGGGTGCCTAATCTGGCCACTGCACTGTGTAAGTGCCAGGGCTCCAGGACACCGCCTAAGTTCTCCCCAGACAAAAACCTCCCACACAGACAGTGAAAGAGGTGAAATCAGTGGACACTTCCTAGAGTCCCTGGTAGGAAGTGGGCTGTGCAGAACCTGGCAGATGGTACTGTAGGGGCAGTGATGTCCAGGTGCGCAGGCCTGAAGATCGAGAGGAGCACAGGTCACTGTCCACCCAGCCCAGGAGCCTGCCAATGAGAAGGAAAGCAGCCACTCATCGCTGCCTGAGGAAAAAAAATCATTCTCTGCCTCCTTTCTAAATCTCTCCAGAGGAAGAACTGCTTGAGAAAAGTGCAAAGAAACCTTTCATGAGTTGCTTTTTTCCCCCTAAGTTCACATTTTTCTAAAGACTAGAAAGGAAAGCTGGTTGATGTACATGTGTGGCCTTAAAATTAGTGGTATTGGGGAGTTCAGAGGAATATGATGTAGGAGAAGCTGGAGGCTAAACAAGCTCTTGCATAGAAAGCAGTTGTAGTGTTCCAGTGAACAGTCCTAGACTAGAGAATCACACCAAGTGTGCCATCACAGTACAGAGAATTTGGCCAGAGAGGGAAAATCCAGGCAAGAGACAGATCTGAGCAATTGCTGGTAGCCCCAGCTTCAGCATACCTGTGATGGCTGTGGCAGCAGTGGCAGCAGCTGTAGCTGCCATACCTACAACAGAGAGAGTCTGGGACAAAGGTGCCAGATGTGACATCTGAGCGGATTCTACTCAGCACCAGCAAGAACTGACAAGGAGCAGATACCTTCACCATGAAGATCGCAGACCAGAGATGGCCCAGGAACCAAGACTGGTGTGAGTAGAAACCTGACGTCCTCACTCCATCTCAGGGAGCAGAGGAGGGAAGGCTGCCCCTCCCCCACCACCGGAGATCTCCAACTTTGTTACTGACAAAGGCCCAGCTAAACAGCTAGCTCCAACTCAGGTCTTAGAAGAAAGCAAAAGAGTCATTTAGCAGGTCACAGGAACCTGATCTGACCTGCCAGGCTCAGCTCCACCCAGGGAAAAGTCACCCAGCCCAGGCAGGGAAAGCTCCAACAGAGGAAGAGTGACTTTCTTCACTGGGTAAACAGAGCCAGAGGCTGCCCCTCTCTACAGCAGTCTAGACAAACAATTGAAATTCAGTAAAGCCTGAGAATAGTTTTAGGCTGGGCCCTGTGAGTGTCTAGGTAGGTAGCCTCAGGGAAAAGCTACTGTTGGCTGAAAGGCCTCAACCCTATCCAGAACCTAGCCTCATCACAGCATCTCCAAACTAGAGGAAACAGCCATCTCTCTCTTTTGTGATACTCAAAGCAGATATCCCTCCCACTGAACTAGCCTGGGAGGAGGATCACAAAATTCTGGGTAACACAGAGCATTTTTCTGCCTGCTCAAACTGACTTAAGAAACCAATCAAGCCACAGGAAAACCAAACACAACAGCAGACCACAGAGTCCACAAAGAGACTGGTTATGGACAAAGGGGAGATACAGGATCTTCCCATTTCCACCCCCTAAAAAAATCAAAGAACTCTGTTCTTTTTTTTTTTTAATTTTAATTATTTTGAAAATTTGTTTTCTATTGTTTTTTTCCTCTCATTTTTTAAATTTTAGGTGTATATGTATGTGTGTGCTTTTCAAAAAATTTCTTTTGACCATTTGGTCCTACTTTTTTCTTCTTTTCATATTTTTGTCTTTCTTTCTCTTTTGCGTGACTTAATTGCTGTTCTGCTCATCCCCAGATATATACCTGTTGTTGATTATTAGACCTTATTCTCCATTGTGTACATACTTAATCTAGCAATTTATTACTCAATGTACAACCTCTTGTCTTAACTTCTTTTTTATGGGGGGGGGTCTGGTAGTGGGGTCTGAACTCTGGGCCTGGGCGCTGTCCCTCACGTCTTCAGCTCAAGGCTAGCGCTCTACCACTTGAACCACTGTGCCACTTCCAGCTTTTTTCTTTTTGCTTATGTGGTGCTGAGGAATCAAACCCAGGGCCTTGAGCATGCAAGGCAAGCGCTCCACCACTGAGCCATCTTCCCAGCCCCCAGTCTCTGTATTATCTATGTATACCTATATAATTTTCAAGTAACTAATTGTAAGGATTTTTTTTTTTAGTTTTTCATGTTTCCTTTCTATCCCTCCTATCCTCTCATCTTATGATTTTCTTCTCTCAATATCATTTATTTAAACTTACACAATTTTTGTGTTTCACTTTTTAAATTTAAATTTGTTTTTCCATTTTTTCCTTTTCATTTTAAACTCTCTCCTACCATTCTGTCCAATCTGCTTCCCTCTCTGAGATTACGAGTTGGTTAAATTCAGTCTCTGTTTACCTCTACACATCCCTCTAATGCTATTTTCTCCCACATTTCTCTCTAAACCTAATAATTTCTGGTTTGCCAAATTCTTCTTGGCTGTTTTTAGCCCATTAATCCATAGTTATTTGATGTTGAATAGATTGTATCTGTTTGTATCTGCAGCCATTTTCTCTTTGCAACTACAGGACTCTGGTGGATGCTTACCTGAAAATAGTGTGCTAGCATAAAATTGGTGTTACTTCCATACCAAATTGGCAGAACATGCCAGAGAAATGCAAGAAAAATGGCAAGTCCAGATATCTCAACTCCCACTCATGATAATCAGGTGACAGAACAGTTAATGAATAATCCAGAGGAGAGTTCCCAAAAATCTCTACAAACATTACTGGTAAATTTAGTAAATGAAAAGACTAAAAAGCTGCAAAGGGAGTGAGAGGAGGCAAACCAAAGGTTAATACAGGAATCTCATGAGCGTGAGGAAGCTACTCAAAGATCAACACAGTAATTGCATAAGCAGGCTTAGAACAGCTTTTCAAAGAGAAAGGAATTGGATGAGCAGGCTGAGCACAGTCAAAGAGAAATACAGGAATTGTTTAAGCAGGCTGAGAACAGTCTAAGAGAAACACAGGAATTTCATGAACATGAAGCTAATCAAAGAGTAATACAGAAATTGCAAGAGCAGGATGAGAATAGACAAAGATCAATAAAGGCATTCATGGAATCTATCGATAGACAGCTGAAAGAATTCAGGGAGATAACAAAGGGAATGCTGAATGGATCCTGACAGAAAGAATGGGACTCTAAGGAAACCATAATCAATCAACTAACTGATTTGAGAACACTGAACACCAAATTAAGGAAGTAAAGAAGTTCATAAAAGATCTAAATCAAAGCTCCAACAAAGAATTTGAAGCCATCAAGCTGACTAATTAGACCATGCAGAAGATCGAATCTCAGGAATTGAAGACAGCCTAGATATCACAGAGAAAGAACACAACTATCCAAGACATAGAATATATCTCTCTATTCAACATTTGGAAGACACCATCAGAAGGCCTAAGCTGAGGATAATGGGTGTAGAGAAGCACCTAGAGACAGCAGTTAATGGTCCAGGAAATTTAACAGGATCCTAGCAGAGAACTTTCCAAACATGCAAAAAGATAGGCCTATTCAGATACAAGAAGCTTTTAGAACCCCAAATAGACCAGACCAGAATAGGACATCCCACCGTCACATTATAATCCACACAGGATCACTTCAGACCAAGGAAAAGATCCTTAAAGGGGTCAGGAAGAAAAGATCAATCACCTATAAAGGGAAACCAATTAGAATCACCTCAGATTTCTTGGCAGAGTCAATTAAAACAAGATGATGGAATGATGTATGCCATGCCCTAAAGACAAACAACTATCATCCAAGAATACTGTACCCAGCTAAGCTCTCCTTCATAACCGAAGGTCAAATATTCCATAGCAAAGAAAAACTGAAGCAATATATCTCCACTAATCCAGCCCTACAAAAGATACTTAAGGAACACAATAAAGGCCAAGAAACTGTATCCAAACCGA